CCGCAATGGAAAAGGTATTAATTTTTGCCAACCTGGAAAAATATTGCATATTTTTTACAGCTCTAAATATACTCTCGTATGCAATAATTCATATATAAAAAACACTTATAAATCATTACAAACTATTCTCCCTTTAAAATATGTATTTATATTTTATCTTTTTTTCATTATAACAGATATTTGCTAACTTCCGGTCAAGTTTATGAAAATGATAAAGAAACCCAAACAAAGCATTCTGTAGCTATGATGAAAAAGATTCAAGAATTTGTTCATTTAGATAAACTGTGCGACGTAATGCTTATAGTGGGTGATAAAAAAATTCCAGCTCATAAGTTAATATTGTCAGCGGCTAGTGACTATTTTGCCGCTATGTTTACCGGAAATATGCAAGAAGCTCATTCCTACGAGGTTAATTCAACCATGAAATTATCAATTAATATCCCAATGAATAAAATCACCTCATACTTTTCGTATAGGTAATTATGGAACAGATGGATAGTAAAGCAATGCAATTATTAATCAACTTTATCTATACTGGTAAGTTAATTACATAATAAATGCATTAACACGCTATTTGAGGAATGTGCACTATTATTAAATGCTTAGAAAGTAAGAAAATAGAATAGACTAATAGTTCTCTAACTTTTTGTTTTATTTAAAAAAAAAACAAGAAAATAACTGTATTCATTCTATATTTATATATAAAAAAGTAGTGGAAAAGTTTTTAATTAGACTTTTTAGTTCAATAAATTTCAATTATACCATTTCCGTTATTTGTTTTTAACATTTTCATTTTCATTTATCTAACAAAACTTTTTCACTTTATTTATATAAAAAAAATCGACTAATTATAAACTTTCTCACTGTTTATCTAAATATATATATATATATATAGTCTTGTTTTTATCTTTTGCACTCTTCTTGATACTTTCCTCTTTTTCAACATCTTCTTCTTTTACTTCTTTTTCATTTTAATGTTATCAAAGTAACTCAATTCAATCTTCTTATATGCATAATACAATCTCTCTTTTTCACTGATATTTTCTGACGTAGTTAATAAAACAATAATTAGGACCGTTTGTTAGTCCGTTATACTCCTTATTACGTTTATGGAATAAAAAGAAGGTATAAAATATGTTTACACATTAAAGGATACTTTAAAAAAGATAAATAATAACAACTACTAAAAAACATAGGTAAAAAGCTTTTAGATACAGATAAGAGAGGTAGAGTATATGCACAGAAAGATAGGTGAATAGAACGGAGAGAATTAGAATAAGCATAAAGATAATTAAAATTTAAGCTTTTTAATGTTTTAAATTGAAATATTACAGAGTCTGAATAGATAACTTGTATCTTATAAAAATAATTTATGCATTGAATCAAATATTTGATTAGTCTGACTTGGAAATCGTGCTTATTCTTGTTTGTTAGAGTTGTATTCAAGCTTTTTGTCTTTTTTGACAGTGTTTATTATAGTTATGTCATAAAAAGGAAACTAAAAATGGAGATTTTTCCGAACATTTTCGAATAATAATGATCAAATATTTAACCTTTCTTTATATTTATATATATATACAAAATATATACGTTGTTATTGGCAATCGATTAATTAACTTATTAAAATCCTATTTATCACCAGGTAATATTGAAATTAAAGAGGATAACGTCGAAACTCTCTTAGCTACATCCAGTATGCTTCAAATCCATTCTATCCAAGACTCCTGCTGTTCATTCTTAATTAAACAACTTCATCTATCGAATTGTTTAGGAATAAGAAGTTTTGCGTCCACATACGGATGTGACGTCTTATATAAAGCATCTAATCAATTTGTCATGGTAAGTTCATGAATTGTGTCAACTACTAGGGAAATAAATAGGTAAATAGCGTGAGATAGGCGACGAGATCAATTCTTTTTCTCATCCAATTTACCATCTAGTTCAGCCTTTTTTATCCCCATTTTTTGGCTAGAAAAGGCGTCAAAACCAATTTCCTATTCTTTTTCCTTTTAGGTATAAATAGATAAATAAGCTTAAAAATGTCTTGCATTTTTTTTACCTGTCTAGTTTAATAGGTTGAATAGTAACTTCCTCTGGAAGAAGAAGAAATACTCTTTCGCCCATACTACTATCCCGTTCCCCATTTTCCCCTTTTCCTATCTTTTCTTTCTGTCTTTCTCCTGTCTCTTTCTTTCTTTTTTTCTCTATCGTTTTCTTTCCATTCCTTATTGTCCTCTCCAACCCACCTACCAAACGATATAACGCACGCCACCTCTCGCCTCTTTTAAACAAAAAAAGAATCCTTTATCATCTAAATTAAATAAAATATGTGCAAAAATTGTAAAGGTCCTTTATTTAAAAATTACTATAGGGAATTTTTATAGAAACTAAAATTACAAAAGGAAATTTTCCCGTTTAAATGAGCAAGAGAATACAATTATCCTTTACTCGAATTTCATAAAACCAACTGCAAAATGCAACAGCAAATCATGTCGAAAAAGTAGAAAAACACATAAAAATAGATTTTTAATACTTCAGCACACAATAAAAATTACTCGGTTTTTACAGTTCATTTAAATCTCCGTTTTCATCTTATATATTACTGTCTATTTGCAGTAGATAAACTGGAAGTAATGTTTTTTCTTTTCATTTTTCCAATTTCTAGGACAATTTCCTTGAAGTATCTAAACAGCAGGAATATTTATCACTGTCTAAGGAAGAAGTTGGTAAACTTTTAAATTCAAATTATATAAATGTTCCTACGGAGAAAGAAGTTTTTCAAGCGATGTTGGGCTGGGTTGAGTACGATCTTGAAAATAGGAAATGTTACATTGACTATTTATTGCAATTTATTAAACTTCCGCTAATGTCTGCTAGTTATTTAGCGGATAAAGTAGAGAACCATGTCTTATTGAAAGATTCTACAGAATGCACTAAATTAATTATGGAGGCTTTAAAGTATCACGCTCTCCCAGATCGGAGAAAATCTTTTCAAGTAATTACTTAAAGACTATTTGACAAAAAATTTGGTTTCAAATTAATTAGTTTCTTTTTACGCTTATAAAATAGAATCATAGAACGAAACCAAGAAAATCTACTATAGGCAGTTTGATTGCGCTTGGTGGGAATGATAACAACAAAAGTAAAAGCTGGTTTTCTTTCAATTTATTATCTTATTTATTTTTATGTAGATTTATTATATATAATAAAAAAAATTTGTTAGCCATAGAAAAATACGATCCGAGGAAAGAAAATTGGACAACTATTGGTTCTATGGGAGGAAGAAAAGCCCAATTTGCAGTTGCTATACTATCGAATAAGATATATGTAATTGGTGGAAGAGATGGTTTAAAGACTCTGAATACTGTTGATTGCTTTGATGTTCAGACAAAAGTATGGGGCACAATTCCTCCTATGTCTACTCCAAGACACGGATTAGGAGTAGCTGTTCTTGACGGACCAATCTATGCTGTAGGAGGTATTATAATAATATTCATTATTATTAAGATTTACCGATTGCGGTGAATAATTTCTTTTAATTAGGGCACGATGGATGGTCTTATTTGAATACGACAGAAAGATGGGACCCTATTTCCCAATCGTGGAACTTTGTAAATCCGATGATGACTGCAAGAAGTTCGGTTGGCGTTACAGCATTAGGCCATAAGTATATCTCTTTATTTTCTAATATAACGCCAAAGGATTTATATTTGGTATTTTAATTAATTCCGAGAATAGGATTTACGCAGTTGGAGGAAGAGATGGAACGTGCTGTTTAAAATCAGTTGAGAGTTTTGACCCGAATACTAATAGATGGTCAGCATGTGCACCAATGAGTAAGAGAAGAGGAGGAGTAGGTGCGACTAGCTTGAATGGCTTTATGTACGCCGTTGGAGGACATGTATCTTGTACAAACGATGCCTCGCCATCAGTAGTTGATCTAGTAGAGCGTTATGACCCTAAATTTGACTCATGGACAATAATAGCAAACTTAAGTACGCCAAGAGATGCTGTAGGGATTTGCGCAATTGTTGACGAAATCTTCGTCGTTGGTGGATACGATGGGCACTATTCGAATATAGTAGAATGTTATAGCGAGGATGAAGGCAAATGGACAGCAGTAAGCTTTCAATATGAATATTTTATCAAATATTCTGCATAAAGCTCATTATTTTTTCAGGTTCCTTCAATGCTTAACGGACGAGCAGGACCAATCTTAATACATACTGAATTATAATAATTACATTCCATAGTACTTTTATTCTTAAATAATTTGTTATATTTGTAGATTATAATAAAACAACTTTCATATTCCCTTGTTACTTGTTTGAGTACGTAAATTATATAAAAAAAAGAAAGGAGAAGAGAAAATTAGCATAGAAGTTAACTGCGAATGCTTACAGAATTATCATTTATAATAGTTTAAATATAAACAACTAGATGGCGTTCCTGTCTGATATTTTTTAATAATTTCTTCACAGAGGAGTATAAATTCTAAATATTGAAAATAAATTTTATAGAAGACGTAATAGATAAATAATTTAGTGTAATAAATTGAAAATAGTGTGTAATAATAATTTCGTTAAATATTATAATAAAGTATTTCAATCAAGATAAAACTATTTGAATCAACAAAGTCATTTGTATCATTGGTAAATTCGTTATAAAAATTTTTATATCAGCTTCATTAAGATAGGAATTGATAATGGTAATCTTAATCTAATTTAACGAATCTGTTATTCCAGAGACTTATTCGCTAAGTTGAGGTGAAAAAAGTGGTTTGTATTCCACTTTTCTTTTTGTTTCTTTTATTTAGATATAGCAATAGCAGAGTTATTTTGAGTAGAATTCATTAAAGGTTTCTTTTTGTAATTTGCTCGCTTTTAAAACATTGAAGAGAAATAAAAAAAAAGTTAATGATTTTCTGCTCAAAGTACGTCATTCAACGATGAAATAATCTTTAAAAGCTATCAATTTTCTCTTTAAGATACGAAAATAGCAATTGTAGCAGACGATTTTATTAATCATACGCCCTGGTTTATTGATGGACGCAATTCTGAAATAAACAAGGAAAATCGGAGTCATTTAGGTTTTAACAATAACTAAGTATGGCAACCATTTGTGGTGTCAGGCCAAGCGAGGGAGTTGAAACAAGAAAGCTACGTGTCAAAGTTATTTGTGGTGTAAAATTAGCTAAAAAAGACATTTTTGGTGCAAGTGATCCCTATGTTCGAATAAGTCTTTATGAAGGTGGTAGAAACTCATCTGTAATCGAATGTGCCCAAACAAAAACAATAAGAAAAAATTTGAATCCAGTCTGGAATGAGGAATTCATATTTAGAATAGTTCCCAGGAATAATACGCTGTTATTTGAGGTATAAATTAAGGATTTAAATTTAATAAAATACAAAAACTAGGATCTTAGTTAATTGACAATCCTTTATAAAAGAGAAGTTGAAAGAATCGTCTGCTAATATACTATTAGGAAATTCCTTTTTTTGTGGTCAAATAATCATTAATATTCTAGCTCTTTTTTTTTATCACTTTAAATTGTAAATTTTCCATTCTGTTCAGAAATTTTTTTGTAACACGGAGTAAAAGGATGAATCATTTTTTTGTAGACAGTTTCACTAATTATATAACACATGAATTCAAATCAACAGTCATTTATAAATTTATAAATAATATAGGTTAATTTGTATACCTAACAAAACTGGTATATACAATAAATATTTTGTGTACAAAACCTTTAAGTAATTTAGACTAGAAAAGCAACTAAAAGTTTATATTATTGTTATTTCGTTAATACCACCTTTAGCTTTTTTTCCTTTTTGTAATCTTATGTATTAGTTGCTATTCTTTTTTATTTTTTTGCATATTTCTCATATATTAAATTTGGATCAATTCAATCATTTATTTTAATAGGTGCTAATGTAAACTAATTAAAATTTATAGCTTTCTTTTCATACTAATAGAAGATTTTATTGATAAAAATAAATGTTTTTACTTTAAAAATATTATAGTAGAATAGATTAAACTCTATCAGTTTTATTGTTGTTAAAATATTCTGTCATTTAAAATTCGTCTAAGTTAATTAAACGCTTAGAAATAGGATTAATACTTTTTGAACAGTATAAAATTTTCATCCGTTGCTTTAGTCACAACTGTCTATTAGAGAATGAACAATAATCTATTAAAAATGGTTCACTGGCTCATAAATATAGTATATTTTTTTTATATGCTAATATTACAATAGTCGTATAGTGTATACTCAGTAATATTTACAAAGAAATAGATAGTAATGTATTTAAACGAAAGCAGTGTTATAAATGCTGACATTTAGATAAATACTACATATACTGTAGTATAGACTAAAGGCTACTGTCTTGAATAGTTATAAGAATATATCACACTTATTTGCTACTATATATGATATTATAGTGAAAAAATAAGAGCTTTGTAAATAGTTTTATGTTTAATTATTAAAATATCTAGGTGATAAATTTGGTTTTTTATATAAAAATGTAAATTATATAATATTTATAACAAAGTTAATTTTCGAAAAAGAAACCCATAATGTTTTCTAATAAAAATGTATTATTTTAATATTTTATTGGGATGTCTTATTACGTATTATACATTATGTATGTTCTATATAAAGTATATATATATATATTAGTATAAAATAAATTCGATATAAAGTTACGTATGGCGCCATGAAGTAAGGCTGAATACGAATTATATATATAAAGTATATATATAATATAAAATATTAATTAATAGATAATAGTTAAAAAATTTCTGAACCATATGCTCAGAATAACACGGATTATTAACAAATGTACCTTATATAGAGAGTATACATTAATATATATTTGATAAAAAAATACAATAATTTTGTCTGTAATGCTACTTTAAATAAATTAGATATTGTTATTTATACTTAATCATTTCAGGTGTTTGATGAAAATAGAATTACAAGAGATGATTTTCTGGGTCTTGTTGAAATAGAATTGTCTACAGCTTGTATACAATCAGAGGATAGTGAAAACATTCAACCGTCAAGGCAGTATCTGTTAAGACCAAGAACATCTAAATCAAGAGTTAAAGGCAACTTAGAGTTATATTTAGGTATGGAATATTTTTGATAATGTTAATTTTCATAGAACAACACAACTGCAGTTTGTTTTTATAACTTTTTTTTATTTTTGATAATAATCTCAAGCAGATAGATGGACAGATGCTTAATAAAAATGATTTTTCTCGCATTCTTTTCTAACTAAATATGTATAAGAACCGATAAACATTCACATGCAGTATATTTATATATAAACTGCATATTTTAAGTTTTTTCCTATTTTTCTTATTGATACTTTAAATCGAAATTTAAATAGAGCTATACAAACCTTCTCTATTTTAGCTTATATAGAAGACGATGATGACGTCCCTGAAGCTACTAGAGATTTTGAAGAGGATTCCAGAGATTGGGAGATAGTTAGAAGCGATTCTGTAAGACAAGAAATGCAAGATTCATTCCCTCAAAATCAGAATGAATCAAATAATGGCGAAGATTCTTCAGCTCAACAACCACCTAGAACAGACTATCCACTACCTCCTAATTGGGAATGTCGTATTGATGGTAGAGGAAGACGCTTTTATATTAACCACACAACAAGATCAACTCACTGGCAGTTACCCACTGAAAATGATAGTGAACCTCTACCACCTGGATGGGAATCAAAAGTTGATAATATTGGTAGAACCTACTATGTTGATCATGCAAATAGAATTACTACTTGGCAAAGACCTTCAGCTGATTCAACTGCTCAAACGGCAGATGAAGAAAGAAGGCAGGCGGCAGATAATTTCAGGCAACGGCGATGTGTCAGTCATGAAGATACATTGTCTATATCAGGAACTGATGATAATGCTCTAGCAGCAGCTGCTGGACCAATACAGAGACTGCATACGCTCGGCAACAGTGTTGATAATATAGCTATTGAAGATGATGATGGACCCCTTCCTGTCGGTTGGACTAAAAGCCAGGCTCCAAACGGAAAGGTTTTTTATGTTGATCACAATATGAGAATGACAAGTTGGGAAGACCCTCGACGACAAAACCGGGCAAGATCAATTACTATGGGAGCGAGTAAAGACATGGATTTAACTCAGCGTCTTGGTCAACTTCCGGAAGGTTGGGAAGAACGTATTCATACAGATGGTAGAAGTTTCTTCATAGATCACAACACTAAAAAAACAACGTGGGAAGACCCTCGATTAAAATTACTAAATGGCCCTTCACTGCAATACTCATCAAGTTATAAGCAAAAATATGATAACTTTAGGGCTAAATTACGAAAACCAACCAATGTGCCCAATAAATTTGATATTAAGGTTAAAAGAAAAAGTATTTTAGAAGATTCTTTTAGATGCATAATGAGTGTAAAACGAACCGATCTACTAAAAACAAGATTATGGATAGAGTTTGATGATGAACAAGGTTTAGATTATGGCGGGGTATCAAGAGAATGGTTTTATTTACTTTCTAAAGAAATGTTCAATCCATATTATGGTCTATTTGAGTATTCGGCTATTGATGATTATACACTGCAGATTAATCCCAAATCAGGAGTTGCAAATCCAGAACATTTATCGTATTTTAAATTCATTGGTCGTGTCTGTGGCATGGCAGTTTTCCATGGCAAACTGATAGATGGTTATTTTATTAGGCCTTTCTATAAAATGATGCTTGGAAAGTCAATTACTTTGGATGATATGGAATCTGTAGATTCTGAATATTATAATTCTTTAAAATGGATTGAGGAGAACGATCCTGAATGTTTAGTTTTAAGTTTTTCTATCGTTGAAGAGGTTTTTGGTCAAACAGAAGAAACTGAGCTAATACCGGGTGGTAAAGATATTCCAGTTTCAGAAGATAATAAATTGGATTATATAAAAAATGTCATAAACTGGAGATTTTCTAGTAGAGTTAAAGAACAAATGAGCAGTTTTTTAACTGGTTTTAATGAAATTATACCTAACACTAATTTGCAAATTTTCGACGCTAACGAAATAGAATTACTGTTGGCAGGATTGCAAGATATTGATGTTCAAGACTGGAAGAGTCATAGTCAGTATAGGAGAGATTATAACGCTAATCATCCAGTGATAATAAACTTTTGGAAAACTGTATATTCATTTAATAATGAAACTAGATCCAAATTGCTACAATTTGTTACCGGAACTTCTAGAGTGCCCATGAATGGCTTCAAAGAACTATATGGTAGTAACGGTCCTCAATTATTCACCATAGAGCACTGGGGTCTACCAACTGACCTGCCAAGAGCTCATACTTGTTTCAATCGACTTGATTTACCAGCCTACACCACCTACGATGAACTTAGAAAGAAGTTACTTATTGCCATTGAAAACTCTGAAGGATTTGACGGCGTTGATTAAATATAACGGATAATATTCAATTAATATACAATAACCATATATACGTAAGTATAATATTATGTATACATTTATGTATAATTACAATAATAGCTAATATTTTCTTAAACATTAAATCCTACAGGTTATATCAATCCTATCTCTTCTTCATAAGAAGCTAAAAACAATTAATTTTTATTATAAATCAGAAATCCCGATGCCTCTTTAAAAAGAATATCACAGCAGCTATAGATTATGGAGAATAATATTATGCTATAAATGCCTGATATAAAGGCAGAAGTTGATAATTCAAAGTCGATTATTCATCCAATGTTAGTAGTGGAATAGATGATTTGTCTAAACGAATGTAATTTTTTGAAAGTCAACTTCATAATAAATGATTTAGGATCTTTGCTCCTCCTATGTTGCTTCCTTTTAATACCTCCCATCTCTCTCTCTTTCTCTCTCCCTATCAAGCTCCCTACCCCCTCCTCCCCACACCAATTAATCATAAATATGAACAGTTTTTACAAAAATTCGATAATTTACATTTAATTGCTTTTATTATTTAAAGAAAATTGTTATGGAGATAACTTGAATACAAATAGCCAGTTTGTGTGCATACTAAATTAAAATAAAAGCATTTTCTTTTCTGTTTCTTTTTTGTTATTCGTCAATTATTAGTTTGTTTTCCTTATTATTATTATTATTATTATTATATATTCTACTTAAAACAGTAACATTTATAATTGTAATATGAAATTGAATTGATAGGCTGATGTTGTTTAATTTGGAAAATAAGTCTAAATTATGCCATTAGATACGATTATTCCCTGGGAATTTATTTAGTGACATGTTGTTAGTATAAAATAACAAACTATCAAACAGAGGGGAATAAGTAAAAAATATACAGTTAAATATTTTATGTTAAAACATACTTATGTAGAAAGTCTTTCTCATCTTTATCTTTTCAACTTAAACTTTTAACGGCCTCTTCTTTTCTCGATAAATCGAGGAATAACGCACGTATCACTCTCTCTCTTATCAAACACATGCTAACTATTCCGTCTGTAGGAACTGTATTGGTAACAGATTTTTGTACTATATATCGTAATTTGTGGTTTTTTAGACCATTCTCTAGGATTTGCAGACAAGTTAAAATGTGGATAACATAAAACTTAAAATGAGTAAGTAGAGCTCCCCCCGGGAGAGTAGCTAAAAGAACTTGGCTTGTTTTATTATTTCTAATACTTTTTGTCAAAACAAAAGGAAATCACAAATAATTCGATGGAAAAAACTCGCCGTATTCGATAATAGAATTGATCGAACGTTGTGAATTCAATTTTGCTTGACATCTTTCTATTTCAGAGTTGACCCCCCTCTGGCATTGTGATGAAAAATAGAAAAGAAAATTCCTCCAGCATACTCTCAGACTCGTCTAGAGGAATTCCTCTATATCCTACATCAAAATTTGATTAAATATTCTACTCTAGCGAGAAGTTTGTTCGTATTCTGAAGAATACTCTAAACTGCTCAACGTAATTGCAATTTACTGTTTCTAATTGAATTTTGATAATATGATATCTCAAGATCCTACAATATGTGTCAAAATATCAAGATTGAAAAAAGTAGCGGATCTTGGAAAATTTTATTTTTGCTTAAAAACCAAACTGGTATCGCTGTAGAATATTTCTCGCTGAAAAAATATTTATTAGTTCCAGATATATTTTTAGTTTTTAATAAATTCTACAAAACCTATTTAACCTTCAAATTTAGTCAATTTAATTATGCCTAACGACTTAGAAACTTTGATTGATATGGGCTTTCCTGAGAAGAAGGCGTAAGTAACTATGTGCAAATTTTCGCTGTGTTCTTTAAAGACGAACCGTTTTATTTCAGCCGAAAAGCCCTCTTAAAGACGAACAATGGAGGTGTACAAGCTGCTATGGATTGGATTTTGGAGCATGGTGAAGAAGACGATGATAAAACTGAAGAAACAGAAGCAAGTAGTATAGAAAAGGAAGGCGCAGATGCGTCAGCAAAATCTCTCACATGCGACGATTGCGGTAAAAGTTTTCGTTCACCAAGCGATGCCGAAGCTCATGCCATCAGAACAAAACATGCTAACTTTAGTGAATCAACCGAAGAGGTTAGACCTTTGACGAAAGAAGAAAAAGAAGCGCAATTGGCAAGAATACAAGTAGGTCTTCCTTATATACAGTATATACGTTGGTAACAGATATGATAATTATTCATATCTTTTATTCAACGATATATTCCTAAGATCTAAAAAGACTTCCTTTAAAAGATGGTTTAAAATTTTTTTTTTCAAAAGTCTTTCATCTCATATCTAATGTAAAGAATGAAAGATATTTGAAATGGAAAAAACTGTAATATGTTAGGCAAAAGTAGTTTAATTCTCTTAATATACTTGAAATATTTCATATAAGTAACTAGGTACGAACCACTGTTATTCAGAAAAAAGAATCAAAATTCATCAAAATATGAACATTTCTTTCTTATGAAAATAACTTGTATTTTCATAATGACAATTATTCTACTTTAATGTTATTTTATAACATTACAATTAAACAACTGTTTCTACTCGAAAAGGAAAGATTAGTTTCCAGAAGAAAAGAGCGCGATGAAAAGGAAGAACAGGAGAGGAAAAATAAGGAAAAATCACGTCGACATCAGGGACAAGATTTACTAAAGGCTAAACAAAAATTCGAAGAAGATGAAATGAAAAGAATAGCAGATCAGAAACGTCGGGAACGGGAGGAAGATAAGAGAGCCAGACAGAGAGTAAAGGATTTAATTGAACAAGATAAGAAAGCTAGAGCAGCGAAAGCTAAAAAAGAAGATTTCTCTGCTTCCGCTGATTCAAACTCCGTAACGGCTAAACCAGTTGTGGTAGAACCCCCAGAGAAGAAGGAGTATGCCGAATGTCGTCTGCAAATTCGCCTTACTAATGGTTCAGCTCTCACTCACACTTTCAAAGCTACTGAGAGTTTAGCAGCCGTGAGGCTATTCGTTGAGATTAATAGGACTGATGGTGAAGGTCCTTTTTCACTTATGACAACTTTTCCAAAGAAAGTTTTCACTGATGAAGATATGGAAAAGCCACTAACACAATTGGGGCTCATTCCCTCGGCTGTTCTTATAGTAGCAAAAATCTAAGAGTACACAATCATAGAAAACAATAATTATTTTTTAAACTCCATTTCTGGAACTTGAAATTTTCATTCATTAATAAAAGACTCTTATTAAAAATTTCCTTCCTATTTCCTGAGTTTCTTAATATTTAAATTAATCTTTACTATTTCCAAAAATAAGTTGACAATAGAATAGAGAAGGTTGACGTATATGTTTTAATCTTATCAATGATAAATAGTTGAAATAATCAACAAGAAAAGAATGTTTTTTTACAGAATAGAGAGAGAGAAAGAGAGAGCTTGAATTTATTTATAAAAAAGAATAGCTTTAATCAAAATTGAAGTCAATCAAGATGCTCTTTCACAAATAGTTATCACTTCTTAACTATGTTTAATACACGTCTATATATATATAAATATATATACTCTTCCTTCTATAGTTTATTGATTTAACCATCAAAACTCTATTTCATCATTTATCATTAAATTTTACTTTATTAGTCAGAATATTGATATTTCTAGAATGTCATAGATAAAAGACAAAAGCGTGGCGACCCTTTTAAATATTATCAGTTTAATATAAAAATAGAAAGACTGATGAAATTTACCAGAAAAAAACAAAAATAAGCGAAATCGATGTCTTACGGCTGACTGACTATAAGACGAACAAGACCATATCGATTTTATACTGCTTTGGTGAAAACAACTATATAGATAGTTTAGAGAACTAAAATTCTCCTCTTTTAGAGACTTTTAATCAATTTTCATGTTGAATAATTACAGAGAATCAATTATTAAACTATCTATGATAAGACAGGGAACACAATTTATGTTGATAGTCGGAAATTTTAAAAATAGTTTCTTGTAGGCTGCTATGCTTACATTATCAAGGGCACACCAGCGCCATTCTTCCTACGTATTCGAAATCAGTTGTATCCTTTCCGGACGAGTAAATATTTAAAAACTTGAAGATTATAAGAATGTTTCTATTTAATTCAAGAAATATAAGATTCATAAATATATGTAGAAGATACTATTCAACAAATCGACCCATTGGTGTATTCGGTGCCCCTTTTAATAAAGGTCAAGTGAGTATATTCAGTTTTTTTATGGCGCATTATTAAAAATTGATATTATTTGTTGTTTATTTTCTATAAATTGCTTGGTAGATTATCTTAAATATTTGATATTACAAAACACAAATAAGAGTCGAAAATATTTTGGTAAGTACTAAAGAAAGTGATAAATTTTATTATAGTAAACAGGTAACGATATATAGTTGTTTTTATATCGAAGAGAATTTCGCAATAACTCATTATGTAATCTAACGATAATTTTAAAAACAGAGAATAAAATTTTGATAAAAATTGATTATTATCTTAATGAATCTTATATTTTTATTATGTTGTGCTGTGAGTTTTATTTATATAAAAAGCACCCTTCTTTCTTTTACTACAGTTTGTTACTTATTCAATACAAAAGTATATTCTTATATAACACTTTCATTTTGAACTATTCACTATTGAACTGGAAGAGAGAGTTCTTATTTATACTGTTGCAATTTTAAATTGTACTTAAATTAGGCTATAACGAACTTTTCACTTTCTTTCTAACTTTCTATTTTCTTGAAAATCTTCCAATTAAATTATACTGTTCTAACCTGGAGAAAAAGAACGCTTAGTGTGACTAATAAATTCCCCTAATCTATTATTAATGAAATACAAGCTATTAGAATTAAATAGAGTACATTTTCAGCCAAGACCAGGAGTTAAGTATGCTCCAGAAGCTTTGAGAAATGTGAATCTCATAAAGAACTTGTCATTAATGGGTCACGAAGTTATTGACCATGGCGATCTAAAATTTGAAGCTGTACCCAATGATACAGCAATCTACAATATACAAACACCTAGGACAATTGGAAAAGCTGCAAAACAGGTAGAGAAAAAACTTCAAATTCAATTAACTTTCGCATTGCGCAGATTCGAATTTAGGAAAGTGCCTTTTCGAGTATATTGTCTTCTTTCATTTCAAGACATAAAAATAAAAAGAAATAGACTCTAAACTGTTGGCCAGATAGGTTTTGACATATTTAATTAGTAGTCTTATTGTAGGGTCAATTTACGGTTGAGATGATAAGCCTGAAAATAGGGTCTACAAGCTTTAATTAACTAAAAATATTTTCATGACATTGGTACAGATATCCGATAAAGTTGAAGAAATATTAAGATGTGGTCAAACTGTAGTCACTTTAGGAGGGGATCATAGTATGTCTGTTGCTACAATACATGGCCACGCGAAGGTCGAAAATGATTTAGCTATTATTTGGATTGATGCACATCCAGATATCAATACTCCTTTAACATCTGCTAGTGGGAATATTCATGGCATGCCACTATCTTTTCTAACTAAGGAGCTTCAACCATACGTACCAAAATTACCGGGTTTTGAGTGGTTAAAACCATGCATAAGCGTAAAGGACATCGCTTTTATAGGTTTGTTAATGACATACACCGGAAATTTTTAGTTATTTTATTGAATACGAAATGATAGAAATTCAATATTTATTCAAGACAATCGCATTTTCTTCCTCTCATAATTTAGGGTAAATCCCTATATTAATAATTAATTAATTTATTTTAGTCGAAAAGTACTTTAGTCTTCCTTAATCTTATCAGACATGTGTTCTCATTTACTATTTCACACATGACTGTACTATGATAGTCACTAAAATATATCTCATGAACTCAATTAAATGTCTAAGAATTTATCTAATTTAATGATTCTTTTACTATTATTTCGGCTCATCTTTCTCTAATTATATCAAATGAATTCATAAATACATTGATAGAGTTTGCAATGCTTAGCGTTTCTTTTTTTTTTCGTGTTGATTATAACAAATTATAAATGAGGTTTCTCTCTTTGGATAGGAAGGAATTATTAAGTATTGTATAAAGAGAAAGCATATGAAAATAATGGACCTTTTTCTTTGTAGGAGTGAGAGACATTGATAAAGCTGAAAGATACATTATCGACAAATACAATATTACTACGTTTACTATGCGAGATATTGACAAACTCGGTATGGAATGCGTTCTAGAAAGAACCATAGAAGCAATAAATCCAACGCTGAATAAGAAAATTCATATGAGTTTTGATATTGATTCACTTGATCCTGCATTTGCTCCAAGTACTGGAACACCAGTACCCTATGGACTGAGTCTTCGCGAAGGTTTATAACATTATATTTTTTTTCTCTTTTTTTTTAAAATATCATTCATTTTTCTTAAATGCCCTCAAGGATACAAACAGAATAGAGTATGTTTTATATAGAAATCCTTTTACAGATAGAAAAGCTATCGTACGGATTTCTATCCTCTAATCGATCTAAAATACTATCTCTCTTTTTTTAAGTCTCACAAGACCTTGAATCACACTTTTATGCCTGATAAAAAAAGTGTATTAAAAGCCTTGACCTTCTTTATTTAAGCATGTTAATTTTAGAAAATGTCATGCAATAGACATTTATCTGTTAAATATATATAAAGTTGACTAAAAACTGCTAATAAGTGAATTCATGCAAATTAATGAATTTTATTGAAAAATAAGGGTCATTTTGAAGTAGATTTATGTAGATGTATATATTATATATATATATATATATATAAACACAGAAGAGAAAATTGATTATTTTTATCATATAGAGTATTATTGTCTTTTTACGATTATTTACTTTCTAGGTAAATGCAAATAATAATCGTTCCATTGGTAGACCGTCGTATCTCTCTGTTCTGTAAAATAGAACGATCAAGCTAGAAAGGGTAGTTGCTATTTCTATGGTTTTTCTTAAGAGAACATAAACGTTTAGTATTAGTAATTGGGGCTACTAAACGGTAAAATGTTAAAGTATTAATAACCTTATAAATAATCCTATTCGTTTCTCATTCTCTTTCTATTTACCTTCTAAATTAAGTCAATGCATTCATTATTTTAAAGGCTTTCCTTATTCGTAGAGATTACTCCAGCTACGTGCAAAAGATGATTTACTCTCTAATTAAAATCTTTAACCTTTTTCTATATTTTCCTCTCTTCCAACAGGTATGTTTCTTGTGGAGGAAATCGCGTTAACAAATAAAGTTACTGGAATTGACTTAGTCGAAATAAACCCTGATCTTGGCTCTCAACGAGACCAATTTACCACGATTTCTGCTGCGGCTGAGGTTCTCTACGCCTTCTTTGGAAAGAGAACTAAAACCCAACTTCCTTCTGACTACGTACTGCCTAAACCATAACTGACTGAAAGTGAAAAATGTAAAAACTTTAGCGGGGCTAATAAATTTTTGTTCAACTTTATTTAAAATTACAAGAACTTTCACATTGTAACAATACTTAAAGATATGCAATTCATATTCTTTCACTTTACAGTCCGTTATCTGATTAGGAATATCTTCTTAATAGTATTAGACAAACACTAGACGAATCTTGTTCACCAAGGATAAAAAATTTCGAATTTACAGTCGTTCTTACGGATTATACTACTGAATCGGTTTATTGTATACAAAGGCTAAGATTAAATATAATCGACAAGGATAATGGAAATATTCATTTAAAGTATTTATTGAACGGGGATATACTTAAAAAAAGAGAAAATCCTTTATCCATAAAATAGATTTATGAATGAACACAAACCCAGTCAATGAGCGATTTTGACTTATTTAGCGATTTATAGTAAGGGTATAAAAAATTTAGTAGATTATTCATATATAAAAATATTAAGAATAATTTACTTATGTCGAATAAATGTAACAAATATTATCTATTTTTTTAGAAATACCCGTTTCTTTGTTATATAAATATTCCGTAGTCTGCGGTGAAATATACACCACTTTATCCAACCTTTCTAACCGTTTATGTAGATGTCATGCACATGGTTAGAAACACTAGAAAATTTCTCGTACATAGTATGACATTTAATGTAATCTTTCTGCCACTACTTAATACCGTTCGGCTGTTCCGTTCTATCTATATCTGTCTTTCTCTGTCTCTGTATCTCTGTCCTTCTTTCTTTCTCTCTCTCTCACTCTCAATTTCTGTATCCTTGCTACTCTTTCTCTTGTCATTTCTTAAAAGCCTATTCATTTTATCATAATGAATTATCAATATATAATGAGGCAGTCGTTAATTTTTTCATACGTATATACAATTAACTCATTATTTACATTCACAATCAAATATTTATAAAAAGCAAATATCTTTTAACAATCAATTTAAAGAGAACAAAAGAATTACTAATCTTGCAGTAATACAGTTTTGTCAAATGCAGAACTTTATTACATGCATAGTATTTTTCGTCAAAACATATAGACAAACAAATATGACAGTGGAAGATGAACTGCAAAAGTGGCTTTCTTTTTTTTTCTTCATTTTCTTTTTATTCACTTACTCCCTCCGTCACTCTCTTGCTCGTTTACTTTTTCTCCTTTTCCGCTTTCCCTCTCTCTCTCTCCCTCATCTGAAGTCTTCGTAGTTTGTCAAAAGACAGACGAGTGAAGTGGGTTTTCGATTAGTTTCTGTATAAATATTTGCTATATAGTTTATTCCAATGAAGCGAAATAAGACAAAGATAGGTGATTACACGATTTTTCTATAGATTTTATATAAAATATAGCCTCTCATTAAATATAATTAATATATATTTTGATAAGAGATTAGAGGAAGGGTAGAATATTTTTAATAAGTAAATAATCCTTTCAATATTCATTTCTAATCAAACAGATGAAAGCTTTCTAAAGGAAAATAATGTGATCCAAAAATTAATATACTTTCTACAAGATTTCATAACGTTGAAGGGTTTCTCACAGGCTATTAAGGAAATAACTAAATAAAGTTTTATAATATTCTACTCTATATATTACGTATAATATATACATTTTTTGTAATATAGTCCAACGTATTTCCCTAGAACTAGAAGGAAAACTAGCGAAGAGCTAATAAGTCTTAGTTTTTGTTATTTAATTAAAAAAAAAATGACTATGTGTATATTTATCGAATTAAAATCCGACTTTTTATAATTTCTTCCAGCTATTTTTCTAGAAAACTAGAATTATTTCTATTGATTTATTGTATTAATACGTTAAATTCTAAACTATTTGTAGCATTGTAATAACATTGAATAGAGAGAAAAGCTTTGCTTCTTTTCTCTTATTCTTCTCCCTCTTTTTTCTCTTCCTCTTCTTGTTGTTCTTCGTTCCAATACATTATCGATGTATAGACTCCATATTGTATTACTGTTATGCGAAAAAGGCGATTTTTTCTTTATAAAATGTTTCTAAAGAATTAAAAAAAAAGAAAAAGAAAGAAAGAAAATAGAATAATAAAAAGATCTTTTATAAAAATGGAGATAGAAAAACATCCCTTGAGATATTAAACTAGAGCAGAATTTCAGGTAATTGTAGAACTCCTATTATAAAACTTGGGAAGATAATCTATTTGAAAATGTTAAATTTCTCAAGTTAAAAAGGTTACCTCTGTTTTTGACGATCTTACCCCAAACTGACCCTACTGTTTAAATCAAACTCTCATGAAAAATTTATCCGTAACCAGAACACAACTGTTGGAATTTATAATATAAAAAACTCTCTCTTAATATAATCATATTAGCTTTTCGTTAAATAAGGAATGCTGTTTTTATGCAATTTCTCTTTTAAAAGATTCTTTTAAAAGATTAATTATATAAAAGAAAGATAACATTGAAGAGAGAATTGACTAAAAGATAGGTGAAAATTTTTAAATAAAACTATAACATTGTCAAAAGCCGGCCTTTTGATGTAAATCATTGTATAAAATAAACTATATTTATTCAATGTGTAAAATTACGTACCTAAACACTCGGGTTATTCTTTCCTCCGTTACACTTTTTTATCGGAAAATAAAGGAATTATTGTTGAAATAATTAAGCTTCTCTTTAAATAGATTATCCTTTTTTGTAAGCAAAAGAATAGATTTTTTTTTGCATTTGCAATCTTTTCTTATTCTTTTATGGATAATTGTACTTTTACATTTTCTGCACTCTTTTGTATTACGAAAAATGCGTAAAACTAAATGTAGCTAACCTAGAATTATGCGTATAGGTATAATAAAAATTATTAAAGTTCAATTAGGTACAACATAAATGAATAATACAGAAATATATGTATCTTCTCTCTCTTCTCATCTTTCTATGTTTCTTTCACGCTTCAGTTAATTATATGTTTTTTCTTTTATAGATAAAATATCGTCAGTCTTTATACATGAAATGCTGTCAGTCTTATTGAATTGACTAGGGAAAAGTACAATTTTTCACTTTAATTGATGAAATTGAGGGAACGAAGCGTATAATTTTGTGTAAGAGGCATCAACCCTTTCACATTTTCAACAGAATTAATAAAACTTTACTAGAGGAGAAAGTAGAACGTTTTCTTTTCCCCTTTTTCTCACTTTTTATTATGTATTCAAAGGGATTCGATTGTAAATACAACCCTCTTCATTTCTCTAACTGAATAGAAAGAGATTCGGCTAGTTGAAGAAATCATTTAAAAAATATAAAATGTAAATTTAATTATAAAAAAGTATTATTTATTTGCTCATTTTGAAGAAATATGTGCATTAGATACTGGTTGTACTGAAAGGAAATATATAATTACAGGACGTTGCAAATAATATGTTAAATGTACACTTTTTACAAAATATTCTGGACTAAAATCAATTGTTGATTATCCTTTACCTTATCAATTGATGACCTTTTTTAAAGACATTCGATTTACTAATATCCAATCAACGTTCTGAACGTTAATTATTGTTCAGTTCTGTACAGATGTATTACAACCAAAAAAATCAACAATATTTGCAAAAAACTTATATAAAATAGGACTCACGCATACAAATCTTCCTATCAAACAACATCGTGCTTCTACATCTGCAGGTAAAAAACTCTACTCAAAAAACAAAAAGCACAAGAGAACAAATAGGTGAGATAGAGGAAGTCTCCTAACAGAAAAAAACCAACAAAGGACACAAATAAATTTTTTTTACACAAGTCATTATCAACTCGTCGCAAATTCGAGCATTTCAGAAAGAAGTTTATGTAGGGGAACTTGTCCTTGTTTCTTTATCGAAACCCAAAATTGCGTAGCTAGTAGTTTTTCATGCATGAGCATCGGCATACAGAATAACAAATGCGAAACTCGTCTGGCCGCGTTCTGACCCCGACCTTTTTCAAATTCTAATAAACTATCATGCATTCTGTCTCGTAGTTGTTGAACTGTATCAGCTGACTCTAAACTTGGGATATCTGGGTTTAAGAGGAGCATGGCTTTTACAAGCATATATTCTTCCTTATTCAATTTTAATTCGGAAAATTTTTGAGCTAGCTTTCTCGTTACGCCATCTAGTTCCAAGTGACTGGCGAATCTGGGTGAATCTGCTTCGCTGATTTTAAAATCATCAGCATAAACTAAAACCCCTTTATAGGGCGTTGATCTATAAGCTACATTCAGGCATATAATGTCCAACCAAGTTGTTTGTAAGAGGTTCATTTGGTCCGCTAGCGGAAGATTTGTGAATCCTATAAATATGAAAAAAAAAAGCTCATTAGAAATCAGTTGCTCGAGCGCAGATGTTGATACTAAAATAATGTTGACAATATCTACTATTACTTTTTCAAAAGTTATACATTTCAAAGAATAATCTCAGTTTATGTTTGAGTTATTTAATTCAGTAAACTTAGATTCACCTACGCATTTTAATGAAATATTTGCAGTTTTGTTTAAACTTCAACAACTTTGATTCATTATTGGAGTTTGTCTTAAACAGGGCAGCCTAAAGAATAAATACAAAAAACTATGGACAAATTGCATTTTTGGCTCTTTTCTGGAGTAGATAGATATCTAAAATCTAGTCTAGTGAAGCTCCACTAATTAGCCGGTATTTCGTTTGAACCAAATAAAAAAAAGCAAAGTAGCTCGTGGTAAATGGTACAGTAAAACTACAACGATATTTTTTCAGTTAGAAGTCGTTAGCATTTATAGTAGGTTTCATATTGAATATTTTTTTGAAAGATTTCATATATATTAATATTTCTATATCACTATAAATTGTAATAATCTCTCTAATTATCGGGCTATTTTCATAAAATTCAGTTTTTCTAGTTACATATTCTTAGACATAGCTTATAATATTATTAACAGGCTGTAGAAATTTTCTGTGAGAATTATTTATTAACTATTTGGGTATAAATTTATACCATTTACGTATTTACCTAATGATTTTCAATTTTTTCGCCCTAAGCACTTATCTTCATTAGAAAGTTAAGTAAAGCTGACGGTACCAGAGTTAGCCCTGCGAAATGCTCTTGTGGTCTAAATAGATGATTGTAAAAAGCAAGAGATTTCGAATGGTTCGATTTTTATTTTCTTTTCTTTAGAAATAGAAAATAATATATTTAGGTCTCTTACACAGCTCATTACGTAACAGGTGAAACTCTAAACGAATAATGATATGAAAAATTAATGTAACCCAATTACATATCGACATATATTTCCCGTTAAGCATAATTATTGATTAGTAGTAAAAATTTACTCAATAACTTTTCAGGACTTTCTAAACACGTATTTGAACTCACAGGTATATCAGCAGTCGTCATATATTGCGAAATGACCTATTGTGCTAGAACACAAATCGATTTTTATCACAAGTCTTTTTCAAAAAAAAAAAAAAGAAATTGTCCTACAAGTCCTAAAAGCTAAAAAATTCTCCATTATGTCAACAAGAATTCAAGCTTTTTGGTACGACTTTTATCATGCGAATATCAAATACATATTCAGAAAACACCGAGCTGCTATATTGTAATAAACAGCAAGACATTTACACAGTATTTAATAAATTAATCCATGAAGCATAAGCGATATCTTTTAATATAAAAATTTTACTATTCGTCAGTAAAAGTTGCAAATTGTCTATGTAAATATCCATCTAGGACCGATATCTTGGCAGGATATCTTACAGCACATCTTGGATGTTACTTCAATAACAGATTTAACCCTATACTATGCTCTACTTTGCTATCTCTTCATTTAAACTTCACAGCCCAAACCTGATTTAAATTTTTTGGTTTAAAAAGACTATTTGTAATTCATCTTTTATACTGATTAAATATTGAAATCCTGTTAAAATTACTTGCAAACAATATTAATTATATGCTATACGAATAGAAGTATCATTAAGCTTTCAGATATCCACCGATTGTCCGGACTAAAATACAACTAAATTAGAAGTATTGTCTTAAGAGATATCAGAATTGACTCTCATATCAATCGAAAAATACCAATATTACACGCAAACCAGCCATTCAACACCGCGGAAAAATCCCATGCTAAAATTAGCATGATGACGTCAATGACGTGTAAAGGTCGGAGTCTGAAAAACTCGACCGAACAGTGACGTCACGCAATGTCGATGAAGGTCGAGGAAATAGGTCAATTTCGTCAATACTCCAAGATGACGGAAACCTCACAAATATTACAATATATTATAGAGTCTACATGAAAATAAATTAGTCATTTTACCTAACGTATATTTTATGCTGTACAGCAATATTAAATTAAATTAATAATGAAAGAGGATATATATGTATATATATATATTTTACTAACAGATGTTTAAATCGTGATAGAAATTATATAGGTGTCCCCATGGACAGAACTAGTAAAGCATCTGTCACAACCTTCCATGGTAATGGCTAACGATTAGTTCTACAGCTATTGCAGGTGTAAATTAATGAAGGAGTTTCAGAGTTGTAACTCAGTCGTAAACTTTAGACAATACTATTAACAAACTCCTTTAAGCTCGTAAAAATGGACTATTTACTAGTTTAATTAATTTTTTTACTTAAATTTTGAGAGGATTTCATAGAGGCATTACAATGATTCTATAAAAACTACCTAATCAATTGTTAATTAAGATAAAAATTCATAAATAAAATATTAATTATAAATTTTAATTTATGGAGAAATAGGGGAAGATTTATATCAAACGCTATGATTGTATAAAGTTCTTGATTGAATTAACAAAATTACGCTGTTCAAAGAATAGAGAACAATTAGAGCAAGACAATCAATAGCTTGAAGTATTTATACCCTATTTCTAATGTACCTGATTATATGAAATAATTTACACTGAAAAACGTGAAAGCTAAAGCTTCGTGAGTCTAGCATGTAATATAATTCATATAAAATAAGAATAGTCAATAGATTTCATAGAATTCTAAAATTAGTGGCCTGCTTCATCTGTTTTTGTTAAATATTAAAAATAAATGAAACTTACGCTTTCAACAGACTATTATGTGGTAAGTATTTCTTATCACTGAAAAAAGTAGAACAATACTCGGCTAATACGGTAAATAAGTCATTTCAGTGAAATTGTTAGTCCATTAAACAATTCTTTGACCTTTGAGCTGCACTATGTGAAAGACAGAAACTGTAGAACTTTAATTCAACAGTCATTTTAATACTATTAATTTCATATCACTCTTAGCGTAGTCTATTATCATATGTATATCAACATAGACAATCAACCATTCTTAAGTTTGAGAGATCTGAAATGTAACTTGTTACTGCTTTAGGAATTTTTAAGCCTAATATTTAAAATTAATTCATTGATAAGTTTTTTCCTACAATTTTGTTCTAAAAAATCAAAAGGGCTTTTAAAAATTTTCAGGCTTATAGAATATGGTTGTTTAATTGGCTAGTTTAAAGAAAATACATTTTATGATGATTAATAATCAACCAAGATAATTTAAATTTCTATATCCTGAGAGTTTTAGAATATTACGCTTTTTCAATTTATTGCATTAAAATACTAGCCTGGCACTTGTTTAGCCCAACCAATTGTTGCTACTAATTCACGATCCGCTAAATCCGATAATGTCACATTTAACTTGTATTCTCCATCAGGTAAAGATGGATCGGGGATAGCAAATACTTTATCCGGTTCAATGGCATTTAAAGCGGCTACCATACGATGGCAATCATTTTCAGCAGCCGTATATGATTTTTTCACAACGGAGTTTATAATTGGTGTTACACATTCGCCTACTCTTTTATATTTCTGCCGGCCTCCTCTTACACGATCCAGGCGAACACCCTCTCGCAGCATCCCCATTCGTAAGCATTTTTGGAATCTACAGGCTTGACAAGCTTTTCTCCGCCTTTTAGTTATTTCGCAATTACCCGAAGCTGGACAGGAGTATTCAATATTACCTGAAATTAATAGCACAATTGAGTTAAACAATACTTGCAAAAATTTCAAACAATAGATAATTTATAACGTTAGTGACAGGAAACATTTGTAGCCCCATAAAAACAACAATTTTAAATTGTAGTCGTATGACGTTAGAAGTAGGTTTAAATAATTTATAATGTGTATTTCATTATAATAAATAAAAAACAATCATTGCAGCTTTCCTCTGGATATTCAAGTTATAATATTGTCAACTTTTTATTAAGTATTTTTCGTCATATTGATAAAGGTCAATATAAATAAGGTTTTCAGAAAATACTTTATAGAAATACACAGCTGGAAGAAAATCAGTTAAAAGTTTCCAAAGGGTAGAAGGCCTTCAAAGAGTTGGCTTTTTACTGGTTGAAATTTAGAACACACACAAAATGGGTCAATAAATCCCCCAACTTATGAAGGAGGATTAACAACGTTTACAATTTTAGTTTAGTTTCCACAAGTTATTGAACAATTCAAGTAGAATAAGTAAGATATTGTGCAATTGTCCTTTTATTTTCATTCAAATTTTTGTCCAGACGGCTACGAATTATTTGCTGCACAGTTACAGTATAATAGAATATTCTTCATTTCGTATTTTTTCAAGTTATTTGAGTCATTCGAACGATTAACAGAGAAAACCAACTAGAATAAACAAGAAGATCTTATTCTTTTGGGATACATATATATTTATGTATATATATATACTACAATATACTACGGACAAGATTTAGATACATCTTGTAAGTTAAGCAGATACAGCTTATATGGTTAACTGTGCGTACATTTAAGAAAATATAGGGTTATAAATATATATTTTATTCTAGGATTTAGAGTATTTATTCATCGCACTTACATGATATAAACAGAACAATTAACACTTGTTTATTGAATATAACACTAAGAGCGATGCCTGTACAATGATCAAAAATGTTTATTACATACAATATAGCTTAAAAGATTTTGGAATAGAATAAAGTAACATTTTAAAGGGATGGATATAGCTCAAAATAAAAGGTTTTAAAGGGAGGCGAGCGCCACCTAGAGTAACTTCCCTATAACAACCACACAGCTCATATCTAGGCAACGAAATATCTTTCTGCTGATCAAGGAATGCAAAATATAAAATATTCAGAACGTGAAACCATGGTCCAAAGTCTAAATTTCAACACCAAATTTCCTGTCGAACGACTTTGGAAGTTCTGGTTATCATCACAGGTTTATAGAGTAATCAATCTCTTATACAGTCCCTATTATTCGGCAACAAGAAAATTGAGATTGCATGCGTTTGAATTTATGCTATTTTAGTTGAGTTAAAGACGAGTCTCGTCTAAAATATTTTAGTTCCCAACTTAATATTTAACTAGTGTCAACGGTGACAATAGAAATAAAAAATGAAATAAAAATAAGATGTGTAGCAGATAAAACTCAGAGTAAGTTGAATCTATAAAAAATTTTTATCCAAATTATCAGAAAAATTATCTACCTAAATTAAACACAATAATCAAACGACGCCACTAAAGAACTAAATAAAAATGATAAGAAAAACTAGAAGCTTTTGCACCAGGCTACCAACGCCGATCAATCGATATCTCTACAGTAAAACCTTCTTCAAGATCTAGCCTTTTCCCCCACAACTATTCACACTCGATCCTTTTATCAATGTGTTTGACTTAGAAGTTAAGTATACTCCTAAACTCCTAGCAAAATGTACACTGATAAATACTATCTACCGAGAGGGAGAGATGAATCATATAATTTTACACTTATATTATACATAATTATATATGAAAATTTTGTTTGCGAATTTGCTTAACATTGCTATCGCACTCTTTAAACAACCACAACCACTTTGTAAAGAGCAGCAAAGTTGAACTATTTTTGAAACTAGGTAGGAAGGGAAGGTAAACAAGTAAGACACCGAAACGTAGCCCCGCTGCAGCCAAACTCTGCAAACATTCCTTTATATACGTTCTATCTTCTGCTCAATTGCGTCACAACATTCTTCAATATTTACGTAACATATATTTTTTTCCGGGGTCGGTCATTATTACATTATTGTGACGTAACTAATGTATTCTTCATAAGAAATGCAATCATTCATAAAAGAAAACAGCCACAAAAGAAATAATGTATTAAACATGATTAATAAACATCAAATAAATGAAAGATCCTACAAATGCCTTGATGTAACTTATGTTTAGACTTTACAATATTCTTTATGCATGTATATGTGATAAAATTTATCTTTAAAATAGAAGCTCATCATGCTATAATTAGAAGCAGTGTGAAAGCACAGCTTAACTGTAAAAATAACAAACTTTCAAAGTCAGTATTTTTGTATAAATCAGTTGGTGCATTTATTTGTTTATCCTTATCCATAGAGTACAGAGAAAAACACTAAAATTAGATATTTTTGACTCAAGATTTTGCAGTTCAATGAAAGCGATCTAGAGAAATTTCATTGAACAACGCAAAGGAATAATCAATAACAAGAAAATTTTTACTGTGGAATAGCAAAGACTTTTCGATTGTTGAAGGCCTAACGTTTTTCACTACTCTGTAAAAAGTTATTATTCATGTTACCCATTTATTCATAAATATTTGATTGAGACATGTGAAACATTCAGTCTACCTGGCTAGACTGTACTAGGTATATGGAATAATATGTATATGCTCTAAATACGATAAGGCAATAACTAATAAGCTTATTCTTAATGGAACCACAAAGTCTGTGAACAAATAAACTTCAGAGCCAGTTACTGCTTAACAGCGTTTTTGTAAAAATTTGACACGGAAAATTTGTCTCTGCCCTTCATCCACATTGATTACTATGCCAACAAAACTAACATAATTTTTCAATGACAATACTGACAAGGTACCGATGAGATTTTAATGAATAGAAATTTCATGGATATCAGTAATCAAGCTATGAATTTTTTGAAAATTAACATAGCTCTCTTAGGTCTATAAATATGTCAATCACTCTGCGATTAATTACTAAAGAAAACAGAAGTACTGAGCCCTCACATTCCAAACTACTACGATTGATTGATGCAATAAGACTTACATAATGAAAAGGATTGATATTAACATCATTCTCGACATCAATAAACTAATTACATTTGTGAGTTGCTAAAGTTTCCATGTATCAAGCCAAAATTGTCTGAAATAGCAACAGCTAAAGTATACTACAATCAATACTCTATACAGACTATGTATCATCATAATAAACAGGTCTTGAAAATAGCATTACAAAATGACAAGCAAATCTAGGACATTTTCCAATCAAAGACACGGCCCTCCAAATAGCTTTGCATTGACCTTCAGAATCACATTTTACAAAACTTACGTATATTGTGGACGCTACTTTTGGTTAAACAAGTTTTTAAATCAAACATTCTGTAAAATCAAGAGCAATTGTCTAAATGTTTAGCCTTGGGCTGCTAAAACGGCTGAGTGAAGTTTTAGCATAGATACAAAACTTTATCGTAGATAACTCTTGAGAAACGTTTGAGACATGTTCTTGGGATTTCATAATAAAATTGTTATTTTTCCCCGATAAAACCATATTAATTATCGACCTACTTATAACATATACTCCTACATATAGAAACACGGAAAAAATTATGCATGATATTTGATATTCTATTTATAGAAAATAATAATGTTGATGCTATTTATAAATTTTATCTTTGCTGTAAGAATAATTCTTATCGTTCTTGATTTGATTAAATTCCTCTTGAATAATTTTAATTGTTCAAAAAGCTTTAAATCCTCAATTTTCAAAAAATTATTAATATTTGGTGAAATTTTAGACAAGTACTCAAATCTCAATATGGTTCTTAGAAGTATACATAAGCAAAGAAATTTAAAAGATATATTGAAGTGCAATTTTTTGAATATTGAAAAGGATATGGCCTTAAAAAGTATAAGATCAACATTTAATCCATATTCTCAATTTTACCACGTCCCCTCTATTTTAATAATAGTCTCCTACTTATTACGTAGTTGTACTTGCGACAAAACACTAAAGTAACTCACCCTGAATGGTTCTCTTAAAGAACGCCTTACAGGCTTCGCAGCTAGCGACTCCATAATGATAACCACTAGCGACATCGCCACACACTAGACAGAGTCGTTTCTGTCCGTCAGTTTCCGGTGCAATTGGCATCAAGTCACACTCTTTGTCCAAGCTTGTTGGCCTAATACAATAGTCGTGGCCCTCGTTTCTTAAATCTTGGGAAGGTTTATCCAAATCCGATTGCGCAACGTTTACGTTTGAGAATATCGGATCAAACTCTTCAATTTTTATTAAATCTTGATGCTGTTGTTGAGAATCGACTGCGTTCATATCTTGGTAGAGTTTTGTTGAAAAACGACCCTGATAGTTCCAGGGTTTTAGCCTGTGCGAACATAAAAGGATATTCTATAATCGATCCACCACTTATTCTATTACTCTTAACGGACGTAATTAATCAGGTACACCTGCTACTATTCTTTTGTCAAAGTCGGGTTTAAAATGCGTTCTTTATCAATTTATAAGTTTGAAGTCTAACTACTAAGATAAGAGACATATTCTGGAGATTTTTCACTTTTTTAAGGTTATTTATCAGTTGTTATAGACGTTGATTGACCGCAGTCAATCAGCGACGAATGTACTGATATCACATGACGTGATAATCTGGCTCATATATTCTAGGTAACATGGATCTTACGTTTAATAAATTGACATACGATATGTAAATGCATGTACTGTAATATTTCAATTAGAAAGCAATTTCTGCATTAAGACCCCGGGAAAAGATTGCTAGATAAAAAGATGTATAAAATTATTGAATTCTTATCATTACTTTCTACTTATACATCTCACTCACTTTCTCTGATATCCTTAATTAGTTTTGCTGTTTGTTTTATAGGACAACAATTTAACCTATTCTTGTAAATTTTTTTAAAAGTATGTCAGTTTTTTTGCTATAATGAATATCAAACATTATCAAATTCAGGCCGATAAGTTCAACGAACTTCATCTTTGAAGATGGACTATTGTTTCAAAGTCTCACTTAATTTAAATAAACATATTATAGCAGCGCAATAAATTTTAGGTACAAGCACCCAAAAAAATACATAAAAGCCATATTATTGTTAGGTGAATATTTCAGCCATTTCATATGACTATCTAAGATAGGCCTGTCATAACAAACACAATACTGAAAAGACTCAACTATGGTCACCAATTTAAAAGTAAGCGTAATCTTGAATATATCACCCAAATATATCCTTTTGAAGCAGTGAATTCAGAATGGTCTGGAAATCTTTGTCTAACATCGTCTAAGGCAGACTTTTGTAGCGAAAATACAAATAGGCAGCTCAATGGATAAGGCCACTTGAATTAAATGAATTATACTTCATGGTCATCAATACAATGTTATTCATATAATCTACAAAAAATATATAAACCGAATAAAGCACATATAACTAATTTTAATATTAACCATCATTACATCTCAATAATTTTTTTTAAATGATAAGAGTCTGATAACTCACATTATAGATTTGATAGATAATTCCCGTATCGATTCTAGTATACAACTGTGTTGAATAAGTTAGACTTTGGAAATAGGCGGATAAAATGATAATAAGGATGGGGAAAATCTGTCACCACTATATGTAGTATTAAAAAATATTTTATATAGACTGTAACAAATCGATTAAATTAAATTGGTAATATTTCCAGTGGCATATATTAATTAGTCTGAGGCTGATGTATTTACGTTTTATCGCAGTACATGAGTTCGTGTTGTCCTGATACATAAAGTATCTATTAATGTGTAATATATCGCTAACTATATATTATGACCAAAGCCTAAAGAATAAAACAAGGAACGGTGAAGCTCCATCAATGAAGATCGATGGCTGTAATCGAATACTATAATAATTTATAAATTCCAACAAAATCGGTTAGAAATTTAAAAGACGATAAAGCATGGATTTGAAGCTATAATCATAAATCAGAAAAGATTATCCAGATCCACTTCTTTTTATATATAAAATATGCAGTAATCCAACAAAAACTTGCTAGAACCTGCTTGAGACAATATCAGCCCTAGCTCCATTTTTTCAGAAATTGTACATTATGGTAGTCCATGTTCAAGATTTTGTCAGTTGACACATAACACATTTATTGAAAGATTATAAATTGAGGTTTTACCACGTGGAACGTTTTAAGGTCTATAATCGAATTATCATAGCGTCGACGATTACGCCCATTAATCCATTATTAAAGATTTTACTTACCAAATAAATCAGCAAAAGAGAGGATTGATAATTATATAATCAAGTCCCTCTAAAATTGTAATCGATTTCAAATTAATTGACTTGAATTTCTTGCTGGAACATTTTATTCAATAAACTTCCACATGCAATTCTAAGCGTAGACTGTGAGAGCATTTTCTGTGGAATTTCCTACCAACCAATCAGCTCTGGCGATACAATAAATTTTTGTTATAAATCCAGTGAATCAGCAATCACATCACATAATCGCAAATTTCTAAAAAAAATATTATTAATGATTAAAATTGTCTTCGTTAATCACATAAAATTATATATAAAAATATATATTGAATTTTTAAAAATTATAAAAAAATATTTAATAAAGTTAACAGAGCTCTGATTGCCAGAATACTTCTTTATGGGTAGTCAGTCGATTATGCAAATCTCGCAAATTATTTAATCTTTTGATTAATCAATCGATAAAGTTAATCGGAGCGAACTGACGATCGTGCAGAGGAATGACAAAATAATTCAAAACGGAAAATTCTAATAACGGGCGATAATATAAGTTTTTCCAAGATGATTCGCTCCATTTGTAAAACATTTATCATTATTTTATCTGGTTTTGTACTCGGATTTGTTATTGAAAAATGTCGAGGTAATCAACACTCTTTTTTACAGGGGACGGTGTAAAAAATATTGAATTGTGTATATAAATAAGAAGGAAAAAATCAACATTTTTTGTGGAACTTTCTAAATTCAATATTTCTTGAATAGAACATTATACTTTGCCTTTTTCATTTTTATTTCCTTTAATCTTTATTTAATGTTAAACAATTGTCCTTTACAAAATTTTATGCATAATTTAGATCGTGTAAATAGAACGTGAATTTTTAGTCGTTTACTTGGTTACACTTTTGCTTAACATAAAGAAATATCCTGTTTAAATCGAACACTTTTCTTTCATTGTATTGAATTTATACTGTTTCTTTATGCTAAATTCTTGTTATATCATAAAAGTATCTATTTATTAAGATACTTGTCTGATGAAATACATACACTATCTGTAAAGTGTATGTTATAGTATATTTTAGCATTGTTAATACTACATATCTTTCTTACATATATTTTTAATGATTATTTTTGTGTAAAAATGTATTTAATATATTTTATTTCGACAGTGCACGAACCGAAATTAATTCGTCATCAGATGCTGTTAAAAACAAGCTCAATTCTGAAATTTACCTGTTCTGGAATTGCATCTGGTTTGAATGAAATAAGATAATTTCAAATTCTCTCTAAAATATTTACTATTTCAGGAATGTTCTTTCTAAGTTTATCCACATTTATTTCCGGTTCAAATGGAGCATTTTTACGAGTGACTTCGAACTATTTCCGAGATTTACAAGTTGCGAGATTAGGTATTATTTCTTCTATTTTTGGTGGTATGCTGATGGGTATTGGATTTTCTCTTTCCGGTTCTTGCCCAATGACAATATGGTCTCAAGTGGGAGCAATGGTTCCTAATTCAAGTAAGAGAGTGTTGAACTTATTTTGGTATCTATTAACAATTCAATTCTTATTAGTGTTTGTTGTGTATGGTGCTTGTGTTGGAACTTTAATCTACTGTCTCATCACTCCCCTGCGGAAGCACTTGGAAACAAGTGAATCGTCGCCAACCAACCCGTGAGTATAGAAGTGATAGACATCTACATTTAAAGGATCATATTAAATTCATTAAAGGTCACTAGCCTGAGTTTTTATTAAGCAAAAAAAAGTATGGTATTGAGTCGTAGTTGACAGCTTTGTGCATCGTAGACATGATAATTGAAGTTTTATGATTAAAAAGAGGTAAAAGTACTCTCCAATTTAAAGGTCATTGAACATTTTTAGCACAATAGTAAAACATGTAATATGAGGCAAAAGAGAATTTTTTTTCGAAGTTTGTTATATGCTTTCTTATAGTCTTTAAAACTAAAACGACAATTAATATTTTGGAAAGACAATAGTAACATTAAATAATAAATCCAATTTTTGCAATTCACCAACGAGATTATTGATATTGAGTGGCTAAACTTTTAGCAGAAAGATCAAGCATGATAATAAATTGCAAGCCAGAAAGTGTAATTAAAGATATATATGAAAACAAATAATAACCGATCTTTATTGAATTTTTAAACATAAACAAATGTAAGTAATAGTTCGAACGTAAACAATAACTATAGAATTATATTTGGAATATAGTATATACAGTATAAGAAATTTTTATAGTTGACTAACAAATTATATATAAGCCCATTTAACTCTTTCAAATTCAACAGTTGTTATTAATATAAATAGTTTAATTAAGTTATTTTTTTTAAATGCTATATATATATCCTTAATAATGCATTAATTTATACTTCATGTGATATAATATACTGTATATACAGTATATATATATATATATATATATATACAGTATATTAGTTTTAATACATTTGATCTACCTTTAAAGTTGTAATAAAGGTAATGTTTTCATGAAAGTTGACAACCTTAAATATCTTGCGCACGTGTATAACCTGTTTCATGATTTTTAATACTTTTACTTTGTGTATATGATGTAGGGTATTTATTGACATATTTTGGAATAGGTATAAATCTGGAAATTATGCTGGACTAAGCTTACCACTTGCTGTTATGTTTGGGATGTTGGTTGTTGCTTTTGAAATGTTAAGTTCTTGGCGACAAGAATTAAGCGTAATACAGAATTAATCGTTTGGAGATTTTTATGCTTTATTTTGATTTTTCATTTTAGGTATACAAGGCAAGGAACACGAGAGCTCCAACTGTCTTTCATATGAGGGCCTGGCCACCATACGCTGCTGGCGTTTGTGTTGGTGTTTTTCAGGTGTTTGAATAAGTTTTTTTTCTATTATTTTAATTGAAAACTTGAAAAACGTTATTTTTTAAAAATATCCTTTTTAGGTTTTGCATATGTTTTCTGTGGATACCTTAATGGGTTGTTCGAAGAATCTTACCATAATTTGCTCGAAACTTCTTCGTAAAACACCTTTGGGAAAACTTTGCCAAGAACGTCAACGATTTAATACTTGGTTTGATGCAGTGTGGCCTGTAAGTATAAATACCGATTGCATGCTTTAATATAAGAATAGAAGGGATTGAGAGGAAAGGATGGGGTTTTATCTGCTGGAGAGTGGAATATTAAGTACAAAACACTAGGAAATTTAATTATTACAGCTTCAGAAAATGTTAAATTAAAAAACATTAATGTGAATTAAGTTATAATATTTGTTACATTTTTCTGTATATTTCGAGCTATATAAATCGACTTCTGAAATAGAAGCGAAAAAGAGACTCTTATACCAAAAAAAGGATTCAAAAAGATAATCTGAGTACAGGCATATCAATCAATATAAAATTTCATTGGCTTCAAAGCATTTTATTGATCTAAAATCGTGTGCATGTCAAATAAAACACAGTTATCTCAAATGTTTTCTTTCTTATTAATTTTCCAAATTAAATTTATTCTATTTCTTCTTTTATTTAACAGTAATGTTTTTTGTTTCAAAGATTGAATTCTACTTACGTATATCAGTAGCCTAGATTTGCCTCTTGATTTTAATCGTCTTGATCGCTTACTAGTTTAAAACGAGTAAATAATCCATACTTTTTCACAGGTTTATCATTGTAAAATCCAGCTATTTTTACACTTATGAATTTAGCATATCCATTTGTACTTATTGTAAAAGGATAGTGTTTTTTACAACCTTTTTTGTTAGTATTCATTGTTTTTTGTATGAAAAACGAACTGAGAGATTTACTTTGAAATTTATCAAGCTTCCATCCTTTAATAATTATTTGTTTCGAAAGATATTCATAGCAATTAAAAACTCTTTAACATATCCAGGTATAAAATTAGTAATTGTTTAACCAGATTAAAGGTAAATTTGGTTCATCGAATTAATCCTAACATTGCAATAGTTGACAAAGGGGCTAGGCAATCTTTCTGTTATTTGTTTCATGATCACATATTTAAGTGAAAAGTTAGTAAATAAGCGCACTCTTTAGCTAGATTCGACAAATTTTCCACGAATAAATGGACTAAATAATAGTAAACTGATTACAAATAGTCATTTTTATGCAAATTTTGAGAAACCAAATTGTCGCAATCGTACAAAATTCTACAAATATTGACTATTATAGAGTTGTATCCAGAACCATTATGTTATCAAATTCAATGTCTTTTCCCCCTACCTCCACCTTCAACAACAAGGTATGTAAAGAAAACAACATACAAAAAAATTTCAAATGGGAAATCTTTTTTCAAAGCAGGAAATATTTCTTTAAGTGATTTGCCATTATCTGTTAACTTTGGTGTTGTCCAAAAACAATCTGACCTGTTAGAAAATCTATAATAGCATTTTGTAAAAGTGCAAGGCAAATCAATACTCTAAACGTCTTCTTTCTAGGACAGATTCGGGCTGTTCCTGTGGCTTAAAATATTAAATTACTAGTTAGTTGATTTAGCAATTTCAATTTTTTTACAGATTGTTTTCACAATTTTCATTGCGGGAGGATCTTACTACTCAGCATCTTTATCAAACTCATTTCAAATTGTGAAAGGTGTAAAGGCATCTGACGCGTTCATTGGTGGTATATTTCTCTTTTTGGGGGCAAGAATAGCCGGCGGATGTACAATGGGGCATGGTTTAAGTGGATTATCATTGTTATCCATACTCAGCTTAATAACTATCGGATCTACTTATTCTTTTGCGATGATGAGCGCATATTATTGGGATTGGAGGAAGAAATTTTCAATAGGAGAGAGAGATCAGGGTAGACTTATCGATCTCTTACAAAATTGGATATTGTGATATTTGAACTAGTTACCCATCTCCTCGATGTTTTCGGCTGTTATTGAAAACACAATTAGCTAATTTTTTTTGTACCCTATGAATTTTGATAACGTCTTAAAACCGAGATTCAAGCGAATCTTACAAAAAGATAGTCTAAAGAGCTCAAGTTTGAATACAATTAGAGAGTGTCAAGTTTATATCTTAAAAGTTGTAAACCCTTGGAAAAACTATATTAGTTTTACATTTTTAATTCAGTAGTATTATAAAGCAGTGGAAAGAATAAGTAGTATTATTTATATACAGTATATTAAAAGGCAAGTGTTTAATAAAAAACTAATTCACTATGATCAGTTTCTGATTAAAAGAATAAACAGTAGATATATTAAATGTACATTATTACAGAAACGACGGTTAAATATAGTAGTATTTGTTTCCTTAGATACTGCTGCTATTAATGTAAATATAAAGATTATTACAAAATGACAATTATAAAGTAACCACTGTAACGTTATAAACGAAGTTTCTACAACTTATCCGTTAAAAGTAGGTCGTTTTCATGTTAGAAGGCTACAAGTAATTCTGTTACATTTCTGTTTTAAAGCTTGTATGGTTAAATGTATTGTGCAAGATCTAAACTGCCATCAATTTTCACTTCTTTTATCTTAACAATTTTGAAAATTAATGTTCACGTTATTAAAAGAAGAAAAGTGCTGTCTAGTCTTTTACAATAAGAGCAATCTATTTGTAGAGCTTGACGTATAGTTGAAAGTTATTAAAGATGCTAGCTATACTTTTAGAATTCTTTTAGAATTGAAATAAAATTCGACACTAATAATCTTTTGAAGATAGTTTATCGTATTTCAATAATACAGCTAATTTTCCGAAGTTGCTATTGAAATAGCTGTTTATCATAGAAATTTCTTATTATTTTTCATATTTTTTTTTGATAACCAAACAATCGAAGAGAGAATTTGCAAAAAAAGAGAAAACGGAATATCTTATTCTCTTAACCAGACTAACTGCCAAATCAATTCGTAATTCAATATAGACTTGTCTCTTAAAATGGAATACTGCGTTTCGCTAACAAATACTTTTTTATAGTAATAACGCTACTGTTGATTTATCAATTATATCTCTTGTTATTAGTTATATGATAAATACTTTTTAATAGTTTACTTAAAAATTTAGGTAAAAGAGTATTTCATATGATTGGTTATGCTGGATTGTGAAATAGAGTACGGTAATCAGCAGAGGAATAAGTGAAATTTCTAGAAGGGTAAGATATATCGACAAGAAAATGGGATCGAGAAGGAATCCATTTTTACTTAAAGTCATAAAACTTCTTCGTCACGCAAATCTTAAAAGATTTATCCGCTTTATTCAAATGACTATTAGTATACAATTTAGACAGTTGATATATGTATATACTGTGTATAGACAGTCTATGTACATTTACTAGAATCTACAACAAACATTTTTCCTAGAAATTCAGGGAATTATCAATCATGAAGCAGTCTATAACGTTTTCAAGACTTAAGAAATTTACATTCGACGTTCCTTGATTGATAATAAAAAATAATTGATAGTCCTGGGGCTCAACGTGACAATTTCAAGGAACCAAATAAATAACATCTTAATGATCATGGTGGTAACGTCAAGGGCTGCCTTTCGGAAGTTAATTATAACTGACAGTTTCTGTATTCCATCTAATAATTAAAATCCTATGGATAGTGTTATTATAATAAAATAACTCTAACGTTTGAATTTTATTTATTCCGTTTACCTTTTGTAGTCGTTATTAATATGAACTCAAATAGGAGATTAGTATATATATATATGTATACTTATTTATATATTAGTATTAGTGTATATATAGAAAATTGAGTAAAACTAATAACTCGTCCCATATTTTTTACATAAGCCGATGACAGAGGCAGCGATTAATCGATTGTTTCTGGGGTTCGTTATACCTGTAACTTCCGTAAATTTGTATTTATGTTAAACTATGGACGAGTATTATATAGTACTTTATGCAATATACAGTATATTTATGAAATAGTACATTATATATCTTTTAATATAATTCCTCTGCAATAAAACTGTTGTTGTGTTTGTTTTATTATGATTTATTATAAATTGATAAAATTATAAACCTATTATTTTCTCTCTCTCTTCAATACTCACCTATTTCCCTTACTAATTTAATAAATTAGTTATAATATCACGAGTCTATGAATGAAAAATTACAAAACTTTGGCTATTTAAAAAAAATAACAACATAAAAACCTACTAAACAAAAGGTGTTTTCAATCGATTCCTACCTTGTCGAGACTAGGTAAGGGATTTTATTTTTTTGTATTTTGAAATTATATTGATTACAAATAAATCATTGGAATTATATTATTTCAATGACAAAAAATAAAGGAATTAATTAATAATTTACTTCCTTTAAAAAGAAATACAAAAACAGGTTTAAACACTTTCTTTTTTTAAATACTATTTCACATATTTGATTGTTTTCTCTTTTTCATCATTTCTTTCATAACCTTTACTTTTTTAGCATTTTCTCTATCCAATACAATCTCTGCTAAACTAATACTCATGTAATATGGTTTTTCTGCTGAACCGTCGTTTCTCTCTATATCTTCCACTATTTAATTAGGTTTTATTACAATTTTTCGGATTAAAGATATTATATTGAAAAAGAAAGTACGTTATTACTTAGGCAAAGAAATATAGTATCTACTCCAGTGTCATATACTTCAAAGAACGATGATGACACAACATAGGATCCAATAGCTATCAACTGCATAACATAAAAAGGTTTTAAAGTACTTATTGAAAATAATTTGCACTGATAATATCTTAATTAACGATATAAAAGGGGAATATTATAAAGTGAACTAATATTTTTATATAACTTAAATTTTTAATTGTATATGAGAAGTAGATTATATTCGTTAAAATTATATAATCAATAAAAAACAGATGCACAATGTAAATTAAATTTTCTACCTTAGAGCACGAAAGTACATATACCTGACTTTATTTACTTTTTCAACATGCTGTATATACTTTCTGTACATCAATTTCGTACAAAAAAAAAAGAAAAAAAGAAAAAGAAAGCAGCTTTTCTTTTTTAAATAAAAGTAAAAAAAAAAAGTATTTTATAGAGCATATTGCTCTATATAAATATTACATATACTTGTATAATATTGTGCATCAACAAGTCTCCTATGGAGGAAGATAGACAGAGGAGGGAAAGGGTTTTGGTAGTCGTCAAAAATTATTTAGATTAACTATACGTATAGGCGTCTTTACGTCAAAAACTTACTATAACTGGAATGATTGGGAAATAAACATCTGGCGTTTCTAAATCTGATAGAAACGTCTTTTTCTTCGGATCATAGACAAAGATATAATAAGATAGTAGAGCTTTTTTCAAAAGTTGGTATTAATTTAATATTTATATAAAAAGTTCAAGCGTAAAAAGAATATAAAACCAACTGGTTAGTAAGACTGATAGGCCTTTAGAGAAAAAGATTACTAAATCATTTACTTTTTCCACCGTTGCTACTCTATTTAGAAAAGAAAATAAATGAGCTTAAATTATGTCTGATTAATATTTTAATACATAATAAAGACTATAATTTATAAAAATGTCTATACAAAAGATTATAATTTGATATATCGCTAGGTGTCGCTTTTTTAAATAAAAAAATTTTCTTATAAAGCTTAATTTGATAGATTGATAGAAGAAAACTTTTAATTAAAACTGCGACATCATATTTTGAATATTGTTTTGCTATTTATAACGTACTTTGTTGCGTTTTTAAGAAGTAATTGGCCAGCTTCGAAGGCACTTTGGCAAAAGTTTTTTCCATGTATAGCGCACTAATTAATATATAGGCTATGTTAATATCACTAATAAATGGATTATGTTATACCATTACCCGTATATATGCATATTTTGTTATAAATTGTAGCAGTTTTTCAAGGCACCACATACAACAAATCATACATTTTAGCGCAAATATTGCGCAACTACTTTTAGACTTTTTCAGTCTTCTTTGTATAAAAAGTAACAGAGCTCTTATAGCTTTAAACGTAGTTATAAGTAAGGAACCAAATGCACAAGTTCCCATATGATATCTGTATAAATATTGTAAAATAAAATATACAATTTTCACCTATTGGATGAAGATATTAGGCTTATATCTAGCAATGGAATTAAGATTATTTAGCAACCACATATTGACATTACCTTAAAGTTAGAAACATACTTTTCAAAGGTGTTGTTTGGGCAAAGGTTTTTTTATTACGAGTCCAAAAATATGTAGAAAAACTGCCAGCAATTGTGAATTGATCAAAAGCGATAATAAAAAACAATGTCCAAATTGCAATAAATCCCATAAAAACTTGCAAATATCTCATATATTCATCAATATGACCCAAAAAATGGCATGTAGAATTTTGAACCTTATTGTCATTCTTATCACATTCGAATACATTTATAATCTTTTTAAATGTTCTTTCTTCATTAATATCTCTATCTAATTCGAAACTTGCGTACCGATTCGTTCCTATCGATGCTAGAGAGCTAAAAAATAGTTAAATAAATTAAAGATATTATTAAAAAATTATATTATTTAATTGAAAAATAGAACATTATATAAGCATATTGTATCTTTCAGTGATTATATATATTGAAATAGTTTATAACTGCCATCCATCAACATTTATTTTTTTAAGGGGTAGCTAAAAGTTTATATATTTGTTTATCAGTTTGCTTATCTTTTGGCGATACGTATGAATTTTGTTTCTTTAACCTTTCTAATAGAAGGGAAAAGGTTTCTTCTTGTGATTATAGAAGATACATCTTTTTTCTTTCCCTCTCGCCCCCCAGAATATTACGCCCGCGCTCCTACTCCCAACACCCTCCATTACTCGTTTCTGTCTACTTCCTTTTTCATTTTCCTGTTTGATTTTTTTTCTTACATACTTACATTGCGCTAAGAATCCAATACGAAACGACTGCTATTTGCAGAGCAAATGGCACTATTGGCCATACAATAATCATCAGCATCCTACTGATAGCCCTATTTTTAGAGGATAGAAATATAACTATTTAAAGTTTATCTGCTTAAAAAAGAATAGAAAACTATTCATTCAGACTTGCTAGCCTCGGAGATTATACGAATAGATAGCCGAATTCTTTGAAATAAACTTATCACAATAATAATAAGTAGTAAATCAAGTATTGCTGCGATAATTGCTGGTAAATAGAGATAGAGATAGATAAATAAAATATACATAAAATACTACTACTGAATTACCTATAGTTAGCCAGAATATTCTAGATGGTTTTAGGAGGAAAAAGTTTTCAAGAAATGATGAAATATCATCGTCAACCTCATTAGTTGCCATCTCTTTATAAGCGTATATTGAATAGATTACAACTATAAATATATACATATATTGTTTGTATAGTACGAACGTTCATTAGTAATTAACTAATTATTTTACCTAAAAGAATACCAATAAACACAGCTGCTATACTTGCCCACACGGCAAGTGGAGCATAAAATCTTAACATGAGTATAATTAGAAGAGATAATAAAGCAGAAATAGAAATTCCTCTGCAAATCGAACCATACAAGAATATTAATTAGAAGAAATAATATAGGGAGACAAAGTAATAATTCTTAATGATTTATTACGCAAGAATAAGATGCCATGTCTGTTTAATATCTTTAATAATTAAAACCATATTTTCAGTTGATGATAACAATAGTCCAAGAGCGCTAAAAGATAAAAGTATACAAAATACTTATATTGAAGCTGACAAATGTAGAAAAGAAGAGAAAATGATTTACTATGATGCACTTTTTATATCCCCCCAAGTTATTTTGTCAACGTCAACTTCTCTAACATTCTTTAATCTCTCAAAAACTCTTTCGGTAGAGGGAGCTTTCTTCAGCTTTGGTACGCAACGACTAACAATAGGTCTGGATGGAACATAGTAGGGAGCACATTCTTCATCTTCTACCAGTTGACTTAAACTCTTCTACATGTTGAAAAAGTATAAATTTAAATCAAATTAATTAAGCTGCTTGGGCGTTTCATTTCGGAAAAACGTTTCTTTTTATCTATTATTATGGACTAATAATTCATTACAAGCGTTGTTTGACAACATCAGTCAAGACAAGAATTATTAATAATGCCTCCAGCGTAGGCTCTTATAGTCAAAGATATTCTATTGGTATATAATAATTTCCTATTTACTTGACTTAATAAAAAGGAAAATGTAGAATTCAACGAATAATAAGAGTGTTTATAGCCTATATTAACCTTTCTGTATTTGTGCATAGAAAAATCTATATCGTATTTGCATATAAGATTCTTCTTTCGGATACTTATGATTTCCTTATCCGTTTTATTCCTCTCTAGTATCTCTTGTATGTGCCAATTCCACGTAGAATTGGGGCATTTAGCTATACAAATTTGCCTTGTAGGACAACCGGTTTTTGATAATTGAGTCGTAAATTTTGTACATTCTCCCAAATCAAAAAAGAATAGATAAGGATCGTTTCTAATCGATGGAGAGAAAGAAAACAAAACAAGAGAAAGAGAGGGGTAGAGGCAGAATGATAAAGATTAAGTAAACAATTATAGCTATATATGATAGTTGAAGATTATAATTTTATATTACTTGGTTCCACCAGCACCGCAAAGCTGTCCGTGAGAATCCATAGGATAAATTAATAATTTTGGATCGGCTTTTGCCATTGCTAACATCATATAACTCAATCAGTATATAAAATTTTACGTTAATACTTTTAATTCAACGTTTATTACCAATAAAACTAATTACAAGGAAGGCCAGAAAGCACAGCAAATAGAATAAACAGCAAATGATATCCGTACAACTTCTGCAAGACAGCAAACAAGGAAGACGTTAATAATTTATTCAGTATTTGAACAAGAGTTGAAAACAATATCACACTATCTCTTACCGTTTATCCGTTGGGAGAGTGAAATTAGTATTAACCGCGGAAGGCAAATTGCCTAATTGATTCGAATTATTATAAAATACAAAACGATATAAATGAAACTAGATAGTTTATAATTAATACTTTCTATGCCCTTTTTATCGGTATTCTTAGCGGCTGCGCGAGATAGCATTCTCTTTCTTAATTAGATATGTATCGCCAACGTACACATTGTTTATAAACTTTTCTTTAAGTCTATTAAAAATTCAAAAATGAATAACTTGTTGCAAAATACTAAAAATTATATAGAAGGTAAATATCTTTTATACGATGAGAGTATATTCCCACACAGAGTAAATACTATGAAAAATGTATTGCACCTAATATAAACTCTTTAAATATGGCATTTAAGTAGGTATTTTGAAATCTCTGTCTCTTTTTAAACGATTTTATATTACGTTTTTGTGACAAATACATTTTCTCTCTTTCTATATATATATATATATATATATATGTCCTCTGTTTTTTAGCTGATTATACTAATATGAAATTATTTTGTATAAATGTGAAGGGAAAACTGACTACAAAAAATTTTTATAGTAACAATAAAAACATAATTGAGTCATAAAATCTGCAGTTCTGGTAAATTATCTCAAATAATGTTTCCCTTTTCTTCATATTTATTGCCTATTTCTTTTCCTTTGGCATCTTATTCTTCTTTCCTAAAATATCCATTAGATCTTTTGACATGTAGTATGGTTTTTCAGGTGTTCCATCATGCCTTTCCAAATCTTCCACTATATTTTTAGGAATAGATAATTAAATTTTCGCGTTCCTTTACTTGTTGACTAATATTTCTACTTACAGAAGCATAAGAATAACGTATCAACTGCCATAGAGTAAACGCTGAAAAATGCTGCCGCTATCACATATGAACCAATGATGATAATCTATAAGGATAGAAATAAATATTAGTACACATGTAAGCAAGTTAATGAATTGACTTAATTAATTCTAAAATATAAAAGAAGTGATAAAAGATAAAAATAAAGGAGGACAGAAAACAGACAGACAGATTTCGAGATAGATAGAGATAAATAAACAGAGAGACAGAGAGATAAAAAATAGTGAGTTAAATTTAATCGAATAATCGAATATATAATTTTGATGATAGTTTCAATCAGCAGATGTCGCTTTTTCTTAACTCACTATCATAGGTACAAATTGAACATTCTTATTAGTAGGTATATTAGAAGCAAGAGGTATATCCAATTTAGCAAGATCTCCACTAAGGACAAAGAAAGATCCAATAGCTATTCAAAAAAATGTTACAATTGTTTGTGTTGATTAAAAGAAAAAGTGAATGTGCAAGTAAAAATATAAAGGTTAAGATAGTAAAAAATACTATATAGATAAAACTAGGTTAGTTCCACAAACCACGAAATAAGGAAAGTTAGTATATAATAAGTGAACTATAGAACAAAGCTATTGTGCCCATTACAACATATTCAATAGAAGATGTACTGTTATTTATCAATTCGTTAACTATTATATAAAGAATCATCTTCTTTGTAGTGTATATTTATGTATATAAATATAGACAGACAGACAGATAGATAGATATCTTTGCCTGAACTTACAATGACGGGTATAAAAAAGTAATTTAAAGATGGATTGTACTCTTTTAAATAATCTGATATTTTATTCACTGGTATCCTATCTGCTAGTTCACCACTGAAGAAAAAGTAGCTGAGAACTCCTGTTTTTTTTGTTTTTATGAATTGTAAGTAATATTTCATATTGTTTGTCATATTTATACAAAATTATATATATATATATATATATATATATATTAAAAGATATGTAAAATTTGTTTTTTTATTTCATCCTTACCTACTGCAGCAACAATCACAAGCTTTCCGATAAACATGACAAAATCAGTAACTTTGTCAACAACTACAACTCTTACTACATTTCTCATAATTAGGAAAAATGCGTTTTTCGCAGAAATACAGAAATTCTTTCCATAAATTGCGCACTAAATTACAAAATGATGGATTATTAGTTTGATTATAATTTGTTATTTAAGTAAAAAAGAAAAATTCAGAAATTACCAGAATGTATGCATTCTTATTTATAAACTTCATAAATTTCTCTAAACACCAGAAAAAGCATTTCAAGCAGCATAAAAAGAATTTTGCAACCGCATTTTCTTTCCCTTTCAATTTGTGATCCAGATATTCAAGGAATACTCGAATAATTTGAATAATTGCTATAATTAGAGAGCCAAATGCAAGTGTGCCGACATGGTAACTATAAATAATCATTGAAATATGAATTATCAATTCACACCTGGTAATTTAATTTTATCCTTTACCGTAATGTCCTTAAAAGTGAACCCGTAACAGGGAAAGCTGGTATATCTGAAGGCTTATTGAAAGCCCAGTAATAGGAGGCAAACGAACCAGCCAATGTCATTTGACCCAAAGCAATTATAAAATTCATAACCCAAAACAACATGAATAGCATGAAAAATTGTAAATAAACGGTATATTGCTCTGTATAACCAAGGAAATGACAGGCTTTTTCGCGCGCTCCAGTTGCCTATTTTTTTTTGGGATGGGGGAAGGGGAGGTGGAAGGATAGATTCATTAGTATTCATTAAAGATTTTATGAATATTTATATATATTTTATTTACCGAAGAATTACATCCGACAGCCTCTTGAATTTTAACTGTATATTCCTTTGTCACATCATCGAATTGTGATCCATTAAACGTTGCTCCAGCATATTTAGCTGATCCCATTGTTGCCAAAAATCTAAGAAGAAGCAAAAGTATAATTTAATAATTTGCATTTTTTAAAGAGGTTAGACAAGTTAATTTACAGAGCTGCAGCAATCCAGAAGCCAAATAAACAAAGCTGTAATAGAAATGGTATGATTGGCCAGAATAAAGTGAATACCATATTTCCGATAGCTCTGTTAAAACGTATGAAAACATTAAAATATTACTAATAATTCAATATTCAGAATTAGACCTGCTACTGGCTTTAATTAAAGAAATAGCTATCCTTATACGACTCCTCAAGAAAATTAGAAGAATTAAGATGATGAGAAGAAATATTCCAGCAATGATTGCCAAAGCTAGCCAAGTTTTTGACAAATTCGTATAATACGATAAATTTGTTGAAAATTCAAGACTTCCTTCATGTTCTGGATCATCTTTCATTTGCCAATATCTATACCCACAATATCCGGTTGCTATGAAGTATATATAAAGATTAATAACTTCCCTGTTTATTATTCTTATTATTCGATAAAGTTATCTTAAACTTTTATTATTAATACATGATATTCATAGAATAGAAACCCTTACCAAAGCCAAAGAGACCAACAAATAATAGAATTGTTAACCAAACGATAACACCAGCAAGCCATCTCATAAGAACAATCCAAATGAAAGATAAAAGCATAGCTAATCCTAATCCTCTATTTTGCGAGAAGAAATGATTATGTTAATCTTAGAATATTATAATATTTGTAATAATTAAACTAAATGCTTACACCAGTATAAGCCACCAAGAAGCCCTAACATCTTGATAAATCTTTACTCCATATTCCTTTGCCGATAAAAATAACGCTAAATATCTGAAATTGAAATATACTGTATAGTTCAAATTCGAGTATTTATTAATTATAAAGACTCTTACTTTGATCCCTTTTCTAGATAACCGTAGGTGACAGTGTTATTTGCAGCATCTGCCATAGCTTGTCCGTCACCAACAATGGTTGCAGCTTTGTCTTTTATGGCCCCAAAAATTGATGGTATACAACGTCCAATTACTAATAATAATAGAACAAATTACAGTTTTACATTCATTCCCTTAAGATAATATATATATTTACGTGGTTCTGATTTTACATAGTAGGGGGCGCAATTTTCGTTTTCTACCAAAGTTTTGACATCCTAGATTACGAAGAAAAAAGACTATTACTTAAAAAGAATAGGAAATATTCAGAAATAAGATATGATAGGGGAATAGGAGAGATAAATGCCATTAATTATATAAGTTAAATAGTATAGCAATGAAAAAACGAAATGTGCAATACAATGTAAATAAAAGAGGATAGAAGAGTGTAAAAAACTTAAGGGGTCCAACGTCGTTAGTTAGTCTTGCATCTCCTGTATTACCACCAATGCTATAATGGCAAATCATGTCAGACCTTCCCGACTTGTCGTTGCTGTTGATTTTCTCTTTTCCATATTGAACAGGCCACGCCCAATACTTACTGGGACATTTTTCAACGCACACCTAATGGTAATTTGCAAATAATAATGTACAAGTTATCCCATTATTCCACATGCAATCAATAGAATATATATCTATTTGTTTATTTGTTGTTTCTCAAAAGAGAAACAGGACTACCACATCCATACATAAATATATAATTATATAGAATGTACAATAATGATTACACGGTAATATTTTATCTATAAAAAACTTTTCCTCTATCTAATAATTATTAAAACCATTTTCCATTAAAAAATAATAAAATATGCATTCAGTGCTGTTTGCTAGTGCTGCTTTGCCAATAGAGAATCAGAGAGGCGGATGGGTTAATTTAAATAATTTTTAGAAAAAACACAGTTAAAAAAAAAGAAAATGTTTCCTTTTTTCTTTATCGTGTTTTTTCTCTCTTTCTTTTATTTGTGAAGAACAGAAACCTGCTTATAAAAGTTATTATCCTTTGGAATTTTACAAATCATATCACTTCGTCCAGATTTTGATCCGCCAAACTTTTCTTTTGTATATTGTCCTATCCATGACCAAGCTTTTCTTGGACAATGCTCTACACATATCTAACAGAAATCTTTATATTATGTTTATATATAAATTTTTCATTTACCACTGTTCAAAGTCTTAGCTAAATATTTCTTTTGTTCATTCATATATTCATCATTCAATTATTGATAAAACTACAATTAAAATATTAACGAACCTGCGTTGTAGGACATCCTAAGGAAACGAGAGAAGATAAACTTATACCAGCTCCCACTTTAGCGCAAGCTAACATATCGAAATAAAATAGATATGGCTTATCGCTACAGTAGAGAATAAAAAATAGCTTTAGCTTGAGCATTTTAATTAAAGGAATTCTAACCTTAAATCTCTAGTAGCTGACTTATATCCACATAAATTTCCATCGGAATCGGTTGGATATAAAAGAAGTTTTGGATTTCCTTTGGAAAACGCTTTTCAAATATGAAAATAGAAAAAATATCAGAAGATATAAAAATGCATATAGTATAAATTTATAAATCAATTTCGTAAATAATTTATTAAATAAAGAAGACAGAGAGATAGAGAGAGAGAGAGCAAAATAAAATTCTTTAAAAAGGATAATTGATAATCAATAATCTCTGAATGAATAGCAATGGTATATTTTTTTTTTCTCAGGTTCTTCTTTGCTTTACTTTAACTATTTCAAGTTCAACCTATAAAAATTTTTTTAGGTAGGTAACAAAGCAAATATTTGTCCTTTATTTAAGTTAAAAAAAAAAATATTTTCTTTTTTCCAAGAGAGATCTATATAAGGTTGTTACGTACATTTCTTCAATTAGATATTGTTTAATATACAGTATATCATATAAATAGACCTATATAGTATATATATTTACCCAAAATTGAAACTGCAACCATTCCTAATACAAATATTATGAATAGTAAACAACATATTATATCCGTACATCCTCGATCCTTAATTGGTCCTTTGAAAGTTGGATCGAACTTTTGGGGTTCACCTGAAAATTTTCAAATAATATATAAATATAAATACTAATTAAACTTATGTCTATTGTAATTAATTAAAAAAATAAAAGAAATCAACTAAGCCCTATTAAAGATATGTAATAAGTTAGTAAACCATATTTCTTTTTATTTAAGAGATCTGTATTTTCAGTTAATTCCATTGGTTTTTCAGCCGTCATAATTCATTATCAAAGAAGTATGTATACTAATATATATATATATGTAAAAAGTATATATTAATATGCGATATATATAAAGAAATATGCTTCAACTTATTGAAACAGTGTTCTTTACTGGATAGAAAATGTTTCTAAGCTAATTTCTCGTCAAAAATCGAAAATAAACTAGACATCTGTTGCCTAGTTTATATATATATAAAAAAAAGAAGCAACTTGTGTATTTTAAGATCTAAAAATGAAAAAAAACACGCACAGTAGCACACGTATGCACTTTGAGATTGAGTTATCGAACATAAGAGATCACTTGGAATGTAGCATATCGTCAATAACGCTACTTTTTAACAGTTATATATGTGCATAATGAACAAATCAATTGGTGCATAAAAACCTTTGATATCTTCAACTTTCGTCATATTCCTGAATAAGGGAGAGCGAGAGGAAAGAGAGAGAGAAGATATATTCAAGGTAAAAATGGTTAAAACTTGTCAGCTTAATAGGATATTGAATGGATATAGCATAATGTTCTATTTTTATTATTCATTGTTTACTACTTATCAAACGTGCCTGTTTATTCACGTCACCATAATAAAATCATTTGAAATGAGTCAATTTAAAGGAGGAGAAAAAGGAGGAGGAGGAGAAGGAGAATAAATACATAGAAAAGGACAAGATAAATAGAAACGAAGTTAATAGAGAAAGATAAAAATAATAAAGCTAAAAGAGTTATTTCGAAAAGAATCGAATATTTTTTTTCGTAACAAAATGCAACTAGAAAAAGTACAGATTGAAAATAATAAGAAATTTTAAAATTGATTATTAATCATTCTGTTGAACCTTAAGATTAGTAAGAAAGAATAGTATATTACTAATATATATATATATATATATATATATAGTGTTCATACTATTATACACGATACTATTTGAATAGAATGGATATAAATACTCTTAACACGAATACAGACGCTAAATTTTATGATTGTTTAAAAAGAAAAAAAGAAGGAAGATAGCACGAACGCTGACCACAAAAAGACTTGTTCTCTCTCTTTTTCTATATTATAAAAACTTTGTATAATTCGTATATCCTATTATACGTTAGTTTACAAAACACTTCCATATATTAATCTAGTTCGTTTTCGAGTTGTTTCTTACAGTATTATACGTATTTATTACCATAAATATATATATATATATATACATTAATTAGTGTACGTAAGCAACTTTGCCAATTAAACAAATGCTGTTTAAAGATACTTTTTGAATTAAATTATGAAAACAATCTAAAAATAGAAGGTAGTCTCCACAAAGGAGGTTTTTGTTGTTACCAAAGCGGCCAGTAAACTAATCAATATTGAAAATATTAATGGGAATATTAACTCAGAAGCTATATCGTTTTTCCTTTATAGATCACAAAATTGTAACGAAAATACTATTACAACAATATTTCAATGAACTTTACAAACTTTTAATAGATAAAACTAATGCGCCATCAAGCCTATATGGAACAAGCAAAGAGCACGCGTTAACAGATCGTTCCTTAGTTTCAGATGGTAAATATATAACAACTAATTGCTTGTAACCATAATAGAATAACCTGTTTACTAGATCCTCTATGAAAGAAATAGGGCGAAGGTTGATTAACAAGGGGAAAAGAATATGGTTGACAGTGATGAGAGAAAGAAATAGAAAATAAAAAGAAAGAAAAAACTAGGCGTTTCCTAGTAAACGTTAAAATAATGAATCATATTCAAATACTGAATAAAAAAATTGATTGATTTTTTTTATTTTACTTCATAATTGAACAATGAATTACTTGAACAAATCTCTTTTTTTCTATTACATACTTGAAAAGTAGGTTAGTTGCCATTTTTAAAATATTTCTATTAAAAGTGCTATTAGCAAAGGTATGTTGTTTTCGTTATCTATTTTATCAAATATGTCGTAAACACCCGCTTTTTAACAATGATTAAAGCTAAAATCAAATCAATAAACAAGCATATACTAATATAAATGTTTTGGTGCATTACATCTATATATATATATATATATATATGTATATTGTTTATTCCCTATACCATTTATTGTTATGCAATATAATGCTATTAGTCCAATAGCTAATCAATTAATAAGTGGATATTTCGAATGACAAAACATTCTTGAAGGAATGTTTATCCGCCTTTGTAAATTTTTTTCAACAGATTCTCTACGTAAATTCTCTTATTTATAGATACATTGCCAATTTTCTTACCGTAGTTTTCTTTATTCTCTTCGCCCATTTATTAATCTCAAATAATCCTTATTAACCAAAAACCAAGGCAAATCACCTTCAGAACGACTGTTATTTTTCAAGATTTACACTGTAGTGATCACGTGACATTCACCTTTTTTTCCCTTGTTGATTGGTTGTTTAATATTTGTTATAACAACGTGGTTGAGCAGGTCGATAAATTCAATATTAGGGGGTTTTCAATATCAAATGATATGAGTACAGAAGAGGAAGTCAATGGTTTTTCGAATGATTAATAGTTTATTCACTATAAATGTATAATTATGTATATGTGCGTATGTTTCTAGGTGAAAATATCCTCAAATCAGCTACCTTCTTTAATACTAGCAATGTTAGAATCATTTCTGTATAGGAGAGGAAAGGTATGTTGAAAAACAACGCCATCTACATTATTAAAAATGAGACAGGATACCAGGTGGGGAGGAAGAGAGAATGGATATATAGAGAAAAGATTAATATTATTTTGTTAGTTACTCATTTTATTTAAATTTTTCAGGAGAAAATACCAATTAAGAATTCAAAAGAATATACAGATATGGACCTATTTTACCTATATATATATACATATACATTTATATAGATAAAAGTAGGAAAAATAGAAAAAAAAGAGGAGGAAAAAACAGTTCAGTTCGTTTCATCCGCTTGAGCTCTCTCTTCTTCTATTCTTTCTTCTTCGTCCTTCCAAAATTTATAATTATCTTCTAGATTCGTTATTAATTCCGGAATTGGTATAACTTCTGTTTTTTTAAAAAAAAAAAGAAAGTAGAAGATAAAAGTTAATAACCGGAAAATAAAGATAAAATGAAAACAAACCATCCCATGCAGAAAACATGTCCCTAATTATAAAGTCAATAAAGCCGGTTTGTGCTTTTCCCAAATTGCAACAATTCCTATCAAAAATAGCCATCATAACTGGTAAGCCTTTTTCTTTTTCATCTTCTGTTTGCTCGAAGTATTCCTCGCTAATCCTCTTAGCCCACTCTATGCATAGATTCCTACTTCTTAGAGGATTTGATATATCAGCGCATTTTATCAGCATTCTAGATACCAATTTCCGGCTGTCGGCACTTTCCAAGCAGGGCTTAGCACTGTCGTTAAAACTACTAACGAATTTTGAAACGTGATCGAAATGTTTTGTCATGTCCGTAGCTAGAACGGCATCAATAATCTTTTCTCTAATTGAGCGATATTGGTCCCTTTGCACATTTTGAAAGATGTTTACGCAATCGCTCTTCCTCGTTAATCTGAAAGCTAAGCTGGCGTGATGGCTTTCTAGTACCGATATATCATTATATAAAACTGCTAAATAGCCATTCGAATTAGTAATAAACGAGTTTGTGCGACCCGGATGGTCTATATCGTGGACGATAGCCGCCACTAAAATTGAAACCTGCTCAATAACCTCCATGGAATCCCTAAGTTTATCCTTTGCTAAGAAGTAGGCTGCAGCTTGAAGAACATCAGTCGCGTGCGAGGAGTTGTGATAGGTATTCGATGAATGATAATTATCTTCAATTAATGCTAACCAACTACACATTATTATGTCATCTATATCTAAAAATTCCATGACGTTAAAGCGTCGAAGTATCTTTAAACCTGCGTGTAATAGGGGCCTTTTCTTTGTTACTCTTTCAAGTGCTATCACGTCAAAAGTCCATTTATCATCATTTTTCAATTGTTCTTCATATTGACTAGATTCTATGACGCTTGCTTGAACGTTTGCCTGGCTTATCCAATGTTTTCCAGCTAATTAATAAAATAAAAAATAAACATTATTGACAAACCAGAAGTATGGAAAATACTTTTGCAAACTATATTTATTATATGAAATATGGAAACCAATTGATATTGGCTATAAATGTTGGAAAAGTTACTTTTTCTTAATAAAATTTCCATAAACTAGCGCCATCTACAAATTAAGAATTACTTAGACAAATATTAAACGGTCTAACATAATACAAACAAAACGAACTAAATAAACAACTCTAAACCCATCTGGAACGAATTCGTTTTCAGACAAAAAGTAGCTGAACGTTTTCCTCAAGTATTGTCCTTCTCACGTACCCTCTTAAAGTGTTAATCGAAGCGTACGAATAAATTAATAAGGTAGGCCTAAAACTAGGATTAACCGTAATTCGTATATTCTGCTTTAATGACGAAAGTCGATTCGTTGCATTTTAAATCCTCTCTGGCTTCTTTATGATAGCTCTGCTCTTTTCTAATTAACGACGGTCGTCCCCGAGCCCATCGAGATCCCGAAGAGATTTCCGATCGGTTTTTGTACCCTTAATTGGTCGATTAATCCGTTATTATATTAAATCTTATGACTTTTTATCAAACGCTTAAACGTTTTAAAGGTTCCGGATTGCAGTTTACTGCTCTCTACTGCAAAATTATGCAAGGTTCTATTTTTTTTGGCTGCAGAACCACGACCTGTAAGATTTTCCCCCATAAATCAATACACAACTGAAAGGGGGCGGCAGAAGGGAGGAGAAAAGGAGAAGCCATTTTTTAAAGAATAATGTATCTTTTCTAATTTAATCTCCTTATATAGAATATACACTATATAGAAATATACCAATTTCTCTCCCTATATACTATGCATGTATACGGAAGAATAGCACTCATTCGAAGAATGAGGGAAAAAATCTCTCCTTCCCTGTTTTTTTCCTCCCTTCTTTTCTTTGTTTCCTTTTTACTTAAAAACTATATAAATTAAACAATATATAACATCTAAAATGTTAAGATATATATAAAGAATATAACGATTTTTTGGAGATTATATACAAGAAGAGAAGAGACGCTTATCTCCTCTTTTTTTGTTCTTAGAAAAAAAAACTTTTTACTTGATTATTTTAAATCAATGTAAGGAAAGTATTTTTAAAGTACCTATGCTTATATGTTTGTTTGTTTGTTTGCTTTTTACTGTATATTCATTCATATGTAGCGATGTTGCTCTTGAATTGAATAATACTACTTCTAATAATAAAACATGGTTAAATAGAAAATTTAATAGCATAAGCGGAAAATATACTTACTAACGCTAGCCCTTGAAGATAACTCACTTGATAATCTTCGTTTCGGCTATATAAAAAAAAGACATAAAGAAATATTAGACATAAAAAAAAGTGATTAATGAATAATTCTGACATTAATTAATCCGCCAAAGTAATCGTTAGTCATCTCATCTAGTATTTTCGACTCGTTCCGAACTGGTGAATATAATTCCGCTGTCTTTAAAACGTCTAAAATTGAATCGACTGCAGATGCATTATTTGGCGAGACGTCTCTGATATTGTTTAATATGGAAATAATCTATAAAAGGTGGAGAAAAAGAAAGTGAAAGAAAGCATTCATCTTAGAGTATTGTAAATATGGAGAAACCTATTAAATAAATTATTTATACATTTATTAATATGAGATATAATGATACACAGTTTTTAACAATTTAGTACTAGGAGAATCCCTTCTAAGCATTACCTTTTTACAAGTGATTAATTGTATTACCTATTTTACAAAATAAATCTTCATCAAAGCCTAAATAACCTTTTAAAGAAAGAACTAGGATATATCTAAAAATAATCCAAGTACGCTACCCTCTTAATAATTGGAAGATGCGCAATTGTTTAGGTTAATTGGTACTTTCATCAACGTGCCGAGAAAAGAAAAAAATAAAAGACCTAGGAGAGAGAGAGGGAGATAGAAAGTGGAAGAAAATTATAATATCTTATTTGCGTGTCACCATGTGAATGTATGTCGTATGCAGGCGATGTATTCGTGCACCTTTGCGCAAAACTGTCAATGATTGCAAGTGTGTGTAAAAGTAGAGGAATGAATGAATATATATTAAGTAAAAAGTGAAAAGGTACATAAAAAAGTATAGAGGCAGAGTAGGTGAAAGAGATGTAAAAGAAAAGAGATGGAAAGAAAAGACAAAAGCGGAGAAGGAGTTAGATAGAAGTGAGGAACATGTTTCCTTTTTTCTTTTCAATATCAATTTACCTGGAATTTTCGGCTCTATGAACGTTCTCTGTGTATTTAGGTCATACCAAGATACTTTTTCGTCTTTTAAGTATTAAGATAGGAAATTCCAATTACACTACAGTGTAAAGTAATATATAAAAAGTTTGAAATAAACTAAAGGTGGAATATACGCAGAGGAATGAATTAATTATTCTCCATAATGCTAAAAATTGAAAGTAGTAAATGTGTTTAAAAGTTTTATAGTTAAAATCAAAGCAGGTAAAGGAGATAAAAGAAAGCTGGGGTAATATAAAATGTAAATGAAAAACTGTTACTAAAGAAAAGAATGACTAGAATTTAAAAGGGGTAGGGCTAGGAATGGGGGTGGGAGAGAAGGTGGCGGAGAGAGTGGTTAGGGGATATTAATGATTTCAAATTGTATTACATATTTACAGTAAAGGTGATAAAAAGAATATTTGACTCTTTACCTAGACCGAACGACCTTTTAGCTATTGAATAAAAATTTCTGTTTGCCGTGTAATTTCCATTAGATCTATTCCAAGGCCATAATTTGCTGGCAATTGCTATAAATTACGCTTCTGGCAAGGAAATTCCCATAATGAGCTAGATTAACTGTCGATATCTTGGCATGGCCAAGTAGTAATTACTAAGTAGTCTATTAACTAAATAAGATGGCGTAAACATAGAATATCAAGTCAAATTGAAAAGTTCTCAGATTAATCTGTAACCTTTTAAAGGCCGCAACTGTAAAAACTATAACCGTATCAGATATCCTTTTTTTTGTTTTTTCTTTCTTATTTACATTTGTAAAAGAAGCCTTTAATTTCTAAAAGGATAATTTTTATTAATTTTATAGTAAAGATATAGACGAATTATTGATTATTAAAGAATTTCTTAAGTTACAAAAGTAGGTGTAGATAGAATTAAGATAGTTTTTTTTTCTGTATATGTATATATATATATATATATATATATATATGCTGTGTATATATGAAAGTGAGCTGTCGCTTATTCTGCTTCTAAAGAAAGTGATACAAGTTTATTATTAATTTTTATATGAATTTATTTCTCCCTAGAGCAGACAGGTTTTTTTAATGGGGTCATACGCCATAAAATTTGCTTAATAAGGAATATTTTAACAGAAAAGAGGTGTGTTTATATTTAAATAATAGAAAAGTTGCTTCCATTTTGAAAAGAAAAAAAAACAAGGAATGAAATTGATATGTATATGCTTTTTTCTCTTTCTTTGTGCAAGGTAAAAGAGAGAGAGAGCGCAAGAGCGAGAGACAGAGACAGGGACGGAGACAGAGAGGGAGAGGGAGAGGGAGAACAGAAAAAATTGATAGAGAGCGATATTTATTTTGATCAATTGAAGAGAAATCAAGTAGAATTAAGATTGTAGTATTTCCCCCTGTGCCAAACTAATAGTACATATTCATCATCCCTAATTGCTTTTTATAACGTCTTGTCTATTCTGTTAAAACCTAATTTGTAAGTTATTTATCATTTCCTTCTCCGTCGAATAGTAATTACTTGAGAGAAATGAAAAAGGGAGGAAGAACTAAGAAAGTCAAGTAGCTTACCTTTAAAATGGGAGCATCGTGCATAACACTTTGCGTATGTATTCTAGTGGTTAAGCTATCTCTTCGTCTCAGGTCCGCCATATTGGACGCAATTGGACTGGGATATTGATCAAAAATCGGTCTTCGCAACGTAACAAGATGTTGACCTCCTCCAGCTGTTTGAACGTAGCATTGGTATCGTAAGTTTTTGCCCTTAATCTGGAAAGATGACTCTCCTTGCCAGCTTCCTTCACCCCCAGCTCGCTGAATAAATGTTTTTGCATCCCTGGGCAATTGCGGTTTCATATCACCAAAATTTCTATCGTGAGTCGGATTAACGTATTGGACAGTGGACGTCATAGGATCCAATATTTCAATAGCATCACTTGAATGCTCCACGGCTGCCAAAAGAGCGTGGGCAGCTCGGATTTTTTTTTTAAGCGTTACAAACTGATCTAGTACAAGAATATTATCATGACAAACTTGAAGTGATTTATTAGCAGCAAATTTCTGTAAAATAAAAATTAATAATAATGAGATATTGGTTGTTAAATTTATCGCTAATGTATAATACAGGTTATTTAAAAACCTATATTTCTCTTTTCTCAATTAAATATAATAAAGACTATGGCTGATCCTTATAGATATTTAACTATTCTACAATAATTTTTTTTATTTAAAGAGCGATGTTTCTTTCTCCCTTCACTAAACAATTATTGATCATGTATATATGCAGTTTATATATACATTTATATAACAGTAATATAAATAGTATTGTATTTTTTATCATATACTTTATAACTCAATTTTTTCATCTGATGAATTAATTAAACTATTAATTAATTAATAGTTTTTAAAGTATAAATGTACTATATAAATATTTTCTAGCGCATTAATGTTAAATAGAAGTTTTGTATAGGGGAAGCGTTACTTTCTTTCTTTCTTTCTTTCTTTCTTTCTATCTGATGATTAATTTAATAATAAAGCTCGCCCAGCTGTGAACAAATACAATTGTTATGTGATAAATGAATTATTCTCGTTAGGTAATCTATACTATCTAAGAACAGCTATTTGTCTTGTATACTAGCTCATACACAATGTGATAAAATTACTTGTCAGGTAAACAAAGCTTCTGTCTATGATAAACCAAGTAGAGTATTTGTCTTGTAATAGTAAACATTGCTTCTATGTAAATAATGTAAATAGATTTTTTTCATTTAAATAAGCCTATATTGATACTAAACTTCTATTTTCTAAACATAGAATAAACATGTAGATTATACTGCAAATATTCCAAGTACAATTGATAAGAATATAAAACATATATATATATATATATATATATATATATATTGATATTGTTTATATAATTTTTGCTTAGGTAACCTTCCTCTTCTACCACTACTACTACTACTACTACTACTACTTCTTCTTCTTCTTCTTCTTCTTCTTCGTTTTCTTTTCTATCTTTACAATTTTAAAAGACAATACTCACGATTTTCATTAAATATTATATAAGAAAATATGGAAATTTCGACGTGTCTTACATATTGAATATTTGAGGCGTTTTATTTTTTTTTTGCATCCAACAACTAATCGATTAACCCCCTTTAAGCCTTTTTTTTTGACCAAATTTCCCTTAGACTTCGTTATTTTACCTCTCTCAGTCTCTCTTCTCCACCATACTCATTTTCTAACCCATAAATAAACTTATCCTATATTTTTTCCGCAATATTTTTATGTTTTTCTTTCTAACGCAATCGATTTCTATTAGTCTTTTGTTTTCCATCGTTCAAGAATAAAGAAATACAAGAATAAATAAATAAAGAATGGGGAAAAAAAGAAGGAAAAAGGTAAATGAATAAGGTTAGGAAAGAGATTGAATATATAAGAAAGGAAAGGGAAAATTTCTTTTTCGATCTTAGCACGGAAGATTGCTAGCCCAAAGGCCTAATCACACTCACTACACTAGAAAAGGAGAATAAGAGATAATATCGAATTTTTTCTATAAATATTCAATTTTTTGCCGTATTTCCCTTCAAAAGACGAAAAGTTGTGGTAAATGGCAATAAATTTAATAATAAAATACTTTTTACGTTGACAAAAAGAATGTTGATAAAAATAGATATTTAACGCCTATTTTCTAGTAATTCGTCCTTCTTGCTTGATGAACTCGAATTTAGATCATTGTCTTTTATAACTCTGAGGATAATGGAAAGTAGTTAAAAAGGTTAAAATAGCAGGAATTAGGTGAGGGTGGGTATAAAAAAATACGAAAGGGCAGGCATGATGGAATTGTGAAAGAGGAAGGGGAGATAGAGAGGAGGAGAGGGAAACCGTGTCATAAGATTTACGTTTTTTATATAAATATTCGAAGGGTAAAAGAAGAGAAAAAGAAGAAAAAGAATGGAATAAAGTACAGGATCCCTTAATGAAATTAATTTCCCTATTTCCTGAAGCAATTCAATGTTACGCAACAAATTACCTGTTTAGCCAACTGCACAGACTTTATGCATTCAATAGCGCCTCCTAACGATTAACTTACTAAAAAAAAATATATAATATTTTCTACTTAAGTATGGTAATTTAACGTAAAGGAAATAGGATAGTTATTATATATTAATGTTACCAGCCATCCCCCTTTTTTTAGCAACATTTTTTGTATGATGGTATTCTGTTTAGTAATAATCCCTAGCAGAGATTTTTACCCATCTAATTATTATTAATAATAATAACAATAATAATAATTTATTGGCAAAAACGACTAACCGTATTATAACCATTAGCTATCATAGTCGCAAAATCCTCGTCGGGAGACGTGTGCCTAATTAGATGGAAAGATCAATAAGGTTTTTTACCGCAATTAGACTATACTTACTCGAGCGACGAAACGACGCCACAAATTACACTGTATTCGTCCAACGTCACCGACCTAATAGTCCTGCACACGGCGTCGGCATCTAAAACGCTCGGCGACCTTCTATCCAAAATTATAACGTCATGTCTTGCTTCACAGAAGAGATTATTTGCTTCTTCGTGTCCTTTGCAGCATGTTAACTTCCACCCAAAGTTTCTATTTAAAATAAATTAAACTTATATGAATTGTTTTCTATAACTTTCAATCTATTCTATCATGAAGAATGATTGAACGATAATCAGTTAAGACAACTATCACGAAGAAAATGGATAATTTCAATTAAAAACAAACAACTAAGTAATTAATGCGCATCCTCTGCCTTTTTTTATATACCTTCAAGCTATAAAGTGGATTATGATGAGAGGGAGAGAAAATGGCAAATCTTTGTCTTTGTTCGAGATAAATATTATCTACCGGAAGTATATAGATATTGTAAATAGAATATAGCGTACATTTAAATGAAGAACATATAGCAAAAGTATATATTTTTTTATACTTTTCTACAGAACTATAAATGGAAAATGTATATTTAATAGAGTGACATTTAACAAAAATGAAATAAAGAAAAAACACCTCACTAATCTTATCTTTGCTATCTTATTAAATATTTGAAAGAAAAAAATATCAAAAACATTCCTTTTTTATAATAAACCGTTTATATCAATATGAACTTAATTAGTATATAGGCTTAATTAAGTTTATATATGATTAAAAGTACATTTTGTATCCGTATATATAATATTTCTTTCAAAATTGAAGATATATAATAAAGAATACAATTAATATTTCTATTGTAAGTGGAGGTAAGAAAAAAATGACCATGTGATAAACAGATGCCAAGAGATGCATTACTTTCAGCTCCTACTTATATTCTAATCAACGTTGATACGTGCTTATTTTAACGGTATTAGCATATAACTGGAAAAGAAATTACTATAAGGACAGGAATTATTTCACTCCTTCTATGTCATTATTTGCCGAAGCAAATTTCTTTTAATAATTTAAATGTATCTCTCCTTTTTTTTCCTATTTTCTTAATAATAAATTAACAAATTTTATTTAAATATTTTTTTTTAGTTATTATTAACTTAATTACAAAAATAATTAATGTCGTTTTTAATAATTATCATCTCACTCTAAAATAGGTGGAGAAAGGAAAAAATCCTTCCCTTTTCCTTCTTCTCTCTCTCTCTCTCTCTCTTTCAGACTCTCATTTCATTCTCTTCTCTTTCACTATCCTTTTCATAGCTACTTTTAAAACATCTGCACACGCATAATTACGGAGTTTCAAATAATTACTATGCATATCCCTGAATTAATCTTTTGTAATATGTAATTTTACGTTGAAGAAAGTATAATTTGAGAAAAAGTAGGATAATGAACTAAAAAAGCAAAAAATACCTTTTCATCCATTTTGTTCGTATTGTTTATTGATTAGAAAAAGAAATCATGAAACTTCGAGAATGGTAAAACAAAATAAATAGATTAGAAATAATGATAAAGCAAAGTAAAGTATTCTCAAGTTTCTCATTAATTGATTTTTTTACTCTTCTTATCAAAATTCATTGAATTTCTAATATATTAAAAGGCGTTATAAAAAAATATAAATATTAATGGCAATTAATATATTTACTTGTACCGATAATCTTTCAAGATCAATTACTAATTTACCGTTCAAAAGTAAAACTTTAGCAAAGTATTGAGTAATTAAATTAACAGAACATTTTATCTGCTATCGATTATATAAAAAATATTCAGATGATTAGTGTATTAATGGTTAACGACTTTTTTTTTCTTTTTTTTACCATATTTACCACCATATAAGGCTCTTGGCGTGATTTTTATTACATTAAAGGGCTTATTTCTTTGAAGATCTAACTTAGAAGAGAATTAAAATGGTAAAAATTCCCTATTTCAACCTGATATTAATTACACATTATACAATATTTAGAGTACAATATAGCGAAAAGATATAATTATATGACAAGAAAAGAGGTTTTTAATATTAATACATATCGTATTTTTTTCGCTAGATAATCTACATACAACAAAGACAAAACAACAGAAAAAAAAATATCAAAATGATAAGAGTTAATAATAATAATAATAAAATAAAGAGAGAGAGAGAGAGAGAGAGAGAGAGAGTGGTTTACTTCTTTTAAAAGGAATAAAAGTAGGAAAACAAAAGAATAAAAATCTGAATAATAATAATAATAATGAAATACAACAAAGAAAAATGATAATAAAAAATTCGGTTATGGCTGTTTAATTGTTATTTCTATATTTTCTATATTTTTGCTATATTTTCTAAATTTTAAAAATTATTTTAATTGTTTTCAATATAAAAAAAAAGAAAAAAACAACAGATGCTTTTTAAAATAGCAACACTTTTGTTCTTTCTACTTATTTCAAAGAGAAAAAAAATGATATACTTTCAACTAATAGAAAGTTATTCAGATAAGATTTGTATCTATTAAACACCTCTTTCAGTCTGAATCTTTTACCAACCAATATTATCAGTGTGATTCAGCTTTTATGAGGAAAATATTATCTGGTACAGTTTTATTCATAGCGTACAGCTGTTTTGTTTCCTACTGCAGATTGACTGGAATTCATATTGTACAGTTCATTCTACAAAAATATAACCTATAAATGGGAAATACTTATATTTATATGTAACAGGAAAAAATTGACTTGGAAATGTAATAAATAAATAATGAAATTTAACGCATTTGGACAGTAAACTCTATATTATCTCTACTATTGCATAAACTATTATAAGATTAACTCGAGTTGATGATTTTAATGGTTTAAGTAGTAAAAAATATCTAAATGTTCTAACGTATCAGATTATTTCCTAACGTGCGAGATGGGTGTAGCACACTTGAACATAAATATC